CTGATCATTTGTTCCCCACAGCTGATTCACAGGAGCTGCTGGCAAGAACCAGACAGACTGTTTGAACACAAAAAGCTAAGATTTTAGACCACCGGGGTGCTCAGGAGGGGCTTGTAGCTGTGTGTTTGTAGCTGCATAGTAATTTGTGCATGTCCTTACAAAATAACAATTAAGATTATGACACATGCCGCGTGTTTGTGTGTTAAAAAGTGAAATGAGATAGTGTTCACCGTCCCTGTAGGCTTGATTTTTAATTTACTTTTACAGCTGTTGGTCTCAAGCATTTCCGCTCGCGTCCCTGAGAGCACAAACTAAAAAATCTGCACAGCAGCTCCACAGGCATCCCTCATGACATACACCAAACACAGATTTCAAATGTTTTAATCTATCTGCTGCTGTGGTCGGCCTACTCAAATAAAACCACATGTGGTTTTAAGTCACCGTGTGTTTCACATGTTGATATTTGAGCTTTTATGCTGTAGACAATGTTCAGCCTATTTTCATGTGAGTGAGAAGCTATACTTTTACCATTTTCTTTCTTTGTATGAAACTGTCTATGCCTATCTCTCTCTTTCTCTGTTCAAGCCTCGATTAAAAATGGTGGTTAGTGTGCCTACATAGTTTCGACATTGGCTCTGTCTATTGGAGTAACTGACATCTAGATTGCCTATCACCCTGCTTTTCTGGTGGTACTGTAGTTGAGTCCTTGTTGTGTAGCAATCTCTCCACATCATGTGTTTAACAGTGCCACCATGTGGTGATTGTGTGCCTCAGTTTGTGATCCAATTTTGCGGCAATGTTATGCAAACCTGCAGCACGGTATCTGACCAAAACCAGCTGATTCCTTAAATGTGATTTGCATTTGGTGTCAGAGAAGCAAGAAAGAAAGAGAAGAAAAACAAACCAGGGAAAGAGAGAAGCACACTTTGGCAGGTGTTTCGTGATTCTACACTAGATGGCGTAGTGAGAACGTGAAAAGGTTTACTGACAAATACTTATAGTGAGCTATTATTTGTTGCATAAGACATTTTCAGGAGGATATGATGGTCACATTTATGAGACATGACACCTGGTTCAGCCTCTCTATGTAATTCTTGCTTTACTGTTGTTGTAACCTCTGAATATGACTAACTATCAAACAAATGTCCATTTCTCCTTTTGTCATGTATAGCACCATTGTAGTAGTAAACTGTGCTGTCAATCATGGTGTCATTAGACAATAAGGGAAGAGGTTGACACACAATAAGTAAACCTGTCAACCTTCTGCCTTGCTCCTTGTCTTAATTTTGTTTTGCTCTGAACCAAAATAATACTTGAATAAATCGTTTATGGAAATGTAAAGATCCTTTTTAATATAAGCAAGTGCTTTGATCATCGTGACCAAGTCTTAAAGCCACATTTCTTACTCGAATAAAGATGTCTGAGAGGTGATGGCAGGGCTATGAAATTGCCAATTTCCACACTCCTCTGCATGGTTTCTCATCATCTTATTTTAGTCCGTATTTCCCTCTGTTTGTTTCTTCCTGTCCTTATAGCAGCCATGGATGTTGTGTAACCGCGCTGGTTCTCTGTGAGAACGGAGCACCAGAGACATCAAAGCAGCTTGTCACTGGGCTCAGAGAAGGGCTCAGAGCAGCAGTCAGGAATAGATCTCCTCCTCTACTGCTCGTTTCCCTCTGTCTGTTTGCTTCCTCTCTAACTCGGGGGATTTGGCGAGTTGGTTTCATCTTTGACTGTTTTTGTTTTATTTTTATATCTCTTTTCACCTTTACCAGCTCCCCCTCCTCACCGTCATTCATTGTTCCGTCTGTCTTTCCGAGCATTTGGGGAAAAGCTCTACTTCTTCTCTTTTTTAAACAGGAGTATTTCTGTGTTAACCATTTGCATGTGTTTGTGTGTGGATTTGTGTGAATGACACAGTTCTGTAGAGTATCGTGCACATAGTATATAAAATATGAATGATGGCGCTCTCTATCACAGTGTGCACATCGCACAGTCAGTGGCACGCACCAGCCATGCACCGATGCCTAGAGGGCACTATCACTATGGCAACCATACTTTTTCACACGCCTCCCAGTATACAGTATGTGTTTGTGTGTTGCTCCATATTAGTTTACCCTCAGCTTAAAGGTGCCCTCAGAGGCTGCCCTACATAAAGACTGTCCCTGTTTCCCCTGATTTCTCCTTTCCCAATTCCTCTCTCTGTCTACGTCACTCTCATTACATTCTGCATGTGCTCTTTCCTCCCCGTTTACCCGACATTTCTGGTGGGCTACAGTTTCTATCTCGGGATGAGCAGCTTCAAAGGGCCTCATTCCAGCAACCTCCTCTGGGTTGACTCCAGTAGCAACAGCAGTCCTGACCTGAGGATGTGGTCAGACTGACTCAGAGCAACAAACACACATCCAGCTGATCCCATCCAACAAAAATCCCCTTTGACAGGAACAAAGCTTTCAAAAGAACACAAGCTTAAAGCTAGGGTAGGTAATGTGTTTCAGAAGCACTTTTTGTTGTATTTGTTGAAATTCTCTTTACATTTCAACAGAAATCAATAAATCAAATGCTTTGAAAAATGCTTGTAGTTGTACTAGCTCGCTCATGCCTAAACAACAACATAGGTAGCTTGTTAGTACATCTCAACATATTTGTGCTAATGCAACTAACAGCTGTTTTAATTATCAATGAATATGCGGGTTATAGTTTTTTTTTTATTAATAACTTAATTGTTTTGTCTTGGCAGGAGTCTAAGGAGACATTTTCACTACTTATGAATATGTGACAAAGAAATATAAGAGCCAAGAACAGCAACACTATACATGTATATATATATATTATATTATATATACTATTACTATTATAACAATCATGTAATACTTTAAAAGTAAAGTTAGGGTGCTCTGTGGACACAACAGATATTATAACTATGCCACACAATGCAATACAAAATTTATGTAAAGATGAAAATAATGTGAAATAATTAGAGGCAGAAGTGGCTAAGGCGTTAACAGCACCAGCATCGTATCCCAGCCATCTTGTTAGGAAGTGGAGCTGCTCGCCCCTGAAATAATCACCAGCACACTATCAGGGGATATCAGGGAACAAAGCAATATGCAATATGCATGTTATGAAACTGGAATATCGCTTCCTCACACACAAACCCAGACACATACACACATATGCCTGTGCAAAAAACGTGTGTTTTCACGTAATGCGTGCCCAAAAGTAGGCAGACACGCACACAGACGCAGTCGAGTCTTGATTTGAAAAGTTAAATGAAAACGATCCATACTCCACAGAGAGGCTGTCTGAGATTACATTTATTTTTTGTCTCCCCTTTGGCTCATTTAGAATCTGTGGGGGGTAAAGCAGAAGGACTCCCATCTCCCCTCACACACACACACACACACACACAGACACACACAGGATGGCCTCTTCGCTGTTTATTGGGTATTTTGTTGATAATGCTGTTATATCAGCTGTGACTTTCTTTTGGGGTTTTGATCAGTGGCTAATAGGAATCTAAATGGATTCTTGGATGTTAATTGCCATGAAAATGTAATAACGGTAGCTTTGTGTTTATGTGTTAACTCCAGGCGGTGCTAACGCATGCAGCCTAAATTATAATAGCTCTTAATAGGTTTTTGGTGGGAGATTTGTCATAGCAGATGAATGAAACTATTGTCTTCCCGTAAATCCCTTTCTGACTGTACCGTTGCCTATCGTGAAATATAATTTGGAATATTGATTGCTTGGGATTTCAATGTGATGGTTGGCCTGTGGGGTGTAATTAAAGTTGTTTGAGTAAATCATGCAGAGTTTAGATCAGATATGGAATTAGCTGCCAAGTAAATCAAATAGAAAATAATGAGCAGCAGCGTGTTTCTTAGCCTATTTGTTATAATAAACACCCTATTGCTTACATTTTTTTTCTAGCAGAGTAAGATTACAGTAAAAAACCAAATAACATCTGTCTTGTGCAGATAGAATTGACATGTTAGAGCTTAGTTTGAAGATTTGTGAACTATGTGTTAATTGGGCACCTCTAGACAAAATAATTAAGATTCTACAGACCCTCTTAATAAAAACCCTTGGGTCTTTAACCATCCAGTTACTGTTTTAAAAATCAGTCCTTTTAACCATGCCACTGTAGGTTTGGTATTAACTTCACAGTATGGAGTCAAAGAATGACAAAATGACTCATCAAAATAGTGTTTTTTCTTCTTTCTGTGAGTCAGATATATCTTTGTCAATTCAGTACTCATTCAACAGTGATATCTCTATTTTGGACTTCTCTCTGCCTCACACCCTCTCTCTCACAAGGATCTGTTACCTCTCTGTAGCCTCGTATGCACTCTTTTTCTTCTTACTTTAGTTAGTTAGGTGGTTACTCATTACCATTCATAAGATGCTCTTCAGGGAACAGACCCCCCTGCTTGCTCTTGCTCTGGATGTCCGGTGCATGTTCTGCAGCACATCAGAAAATTAGTGAGTCAGCAAGGTCTCTTTATAGTCGCTGATAGACTGATTAACTACAGAAACAACTCAACCCTGGAGCTCAGGGACATGTCAGGCATGCGCACAGATATTCACAGACACCAATAAGCATCCATGCAAATAAAAACAAGAATGCAAAAACAGACAGCCGTGGTGTTCCCTATCCATCTCCGGGGGCTTAGTGCATTTTTCACCAAAGCACAAGCAGTGAAAGTTGGTGAGCCTGTGTAGAGCAGTGTGGCCTGTGCAATATGCACTGTACATGTGTACACAGTATCAGTAACCTAGAAAAAAATAGATATCTGAGTGGCCAAATCTGCAGACCAGCTGGGGAATTGTTGTGAGAGCCTATCAACAAATAGTTAAGGTGACCTTGAAAAAAACATTCAGCCTCTAATCGTAGAAAAGTGTCATTGCTTACAGCGGCTGACATCTGTGTAAGCATCCAATTTGGACATGGATTGGAAAAATAATCACTGAACTCATCTGTGTGTCTTTGTTTCCAGGTGTCATGTCTGCAAGACTTCTTTGGCGATGAGGACATTTTTGTGGCGTGTGGACCGGAGAAGTTCCGCTACCAAGACGACTTGATGCTGGATGAGAGTGGTGAGGCGACTACTAGTTCCTCTGACATTTCCACGCTGACATTTCACATTTGACTGTTCAGTGTGCCCCCTCATATGTTCCTCCCTTTCCTTCCTGCCCCCAGCTGTGCTTGCTGATTGTTTACAAGTTGTTTCTTTGTGTGCTATTTTCTAAGGTTGAGCAATGTACCATTCAGTGCAATCACACTGTGATAGAATAGGAGTAGTTGTGATACTTCATTCTGTTTAATTATTCTAAAAAATAGGGAATAATTAGCCTCAAATTCATAGTTACATTGCCATGCAGTTAAGTATAGTGAACAACAATTTTTATATTTAAAGGTTGTCCAATCAGAGCAGAGCAGAGAAATAATACTCATCTAAAGGTTAATCTATTCTGCAGTGCCCCTTGTAACTGTCTTAATTATAAAATCAGTAATTTCACCATTAACCAAGAAATTTGAATATTTTCTACTTCCTGAATATAATGTAGTTGTTGAGATGTTTGTGTGCAAGTACTGTATTTTAAACCTTTATCAATGGAGAAACTTTATTTTACTACCCTGTATGAACCATCTGACTATACTACCACTGTACCACTATACAAACGCATAAATTGAAGCCTGGCAAGATGGATTCTCGCGTAATTTTGTGATCTCCCTTTTATGTGTGCATTTACTGTGTTATATTTAAAGATCCAGTGTGTAACATTTAGGAGCATCTACTGGCATAAATGGAATAAAATATTCATAGGTAATCACCTGAATATAGGAATTCTTGTGTTTTTGTTACCTTAGAATGAGCAGTTTTAATCTACAGACAATGCAGATTGTGTTCCATGGAGTTTGCCATGTTGAACTGCTATGTTTCTAGCCCTGAAGTGACCAAACCAAACACTGGCTGGAAAAAACGTTTATGTTCTTTGTGCGTCACTGTAGTTTATCCTTCACGCTTGGGAGGGGAGGCTGAAACAAGGGCATTTTGATCCCGAACTACACCGCCAAATGCCACTAGATCCTACACACTGGACCATAAGATGAAAGACATTTGTTATTTTGACAGTTATTTAGCTTTCTGTCACTTTCTTTCTTTTTTTGATTTGTTTTTAGACATTTTAAATCTTCTTTGTCTCCTCAGTTGCATAGCACCCCTCGTCTTGCCTCTTTATGACACATCTCCCTGGTTCAGGTGGCAGAGGACGATGTAGGCTGTCCAGTTCATTACAGTTCATTACTCTCTCCTCTCCTCTCTTCTCCTCTCTCTTCTTGGAAGAACAGGTCCATTGCACTTAAGCCTTAATTGTCTAACCTATTGCACCATTGTTCCTTTTCTTCTCTGTATGTCTCTCCACTGCGGTCTGCTGAGAATACGTTCTGCCCCCTTTTTACCCATCTGTATCTTGCTTTCTGTCTCCCCCTTCATCGCTGTCTGAAGACTCCTGCCATTTAGCGCTCATCTGTATTCTCACCCTCTCCTCCCTCTTCCTGTCTCCTACATGAATGAGTGTGCACTGGCTTTTGTTCAAAGGTTTATTCAATTCATTTGTTTCCCCTGTATCCCTTCATCCATTAAATAATATCCATCCCACCTGGGTTGCCAGCCTCCACCTCCTTCCCCCGTTTGTCACTCTTTTCCTTTTTTCCTCCCTCTCTTCCCCACTACTCACCTTTCATTTGCAAAATATAATAACTAGCTGCTTCCATTACATTTCTTTTTCGTAACCTTCTCTTCTCTTGAGAAAGACCACAAAACAACCTCCTACATGCAACATGTGGCATTGTTTTCTCTGACTTCAGAGGAGACAACCAGTGAATCTTCTATGGCTCTCAGTTTCCCATAATCCATTTTAATCCATTGCATGCTGGTCAGTTGTTAATGGTGCATTCACAAGCTCCTGACCAACTTACAAAGTATGAAAAATATCACATAATCATGTCTTATTTGCTATTTATTTTATTTATCATTTTAAATACACCTAATTGAAATAGGTAGTTTAAGGTTTCAAGATGTGGTGAGGGACTGACATCATCATACATCATCTAAACACACCTCATAGATTGCTGATTGGTCCAGTTTGTATCTGGCTAGGCTCAGACGTGTCTCAGTGGGTCATTTAGACTAAAAATTTGATGCAAAAACTGAGATGTCTGGAGATTTGGGGCAATGGAATACAGTTTGAGACATCAAATATGACCCTGCTCTACTGATTTCACTACAAAGGACATGAAAGCCTTTAATAGTGGATTGTGTAGAAATAACAACTAATTTACTAATAATAGTAAAATAATTTTGGATGTGATCATCAACATTCAAAAACAATATATCATTCTCCGCATACATCTTTCTTTTATTTCTTAAAATATTTTTTTTGTTCTTGTTACATTAGGGATATTGCATAGACTTACAATACTTCCTTAATTCTTAATGCTAGACCCTAACCTCAGCCCTCACCTTCACCAAAAACTAAGTCTTATAACCTTAACCATAAGGTAAAGGAGTAACGTTGTGGGGACTTTTTTCTAAATAAATATATTTATTTGACACCTCCTCATGCCCTGGGAGACAGAGTGCTGGAGGCAGAATGCAAAAATAGACAGACGGGAAAGCAGAGCGACAAATGAAACAGATGCGACAGAGAGACAGTCGGAGTCAGAGCTGCAGACAACTTCGCCTCCTCTCAGCATCACTATAATTATCGCCTCTGCCTCAGCTCTGGCACACTGTCATCATGTTAACACTCCGCATTGTACATTAATCACTGGGCCACAACGACTGCCACCAGGCAAATAACACACACACACACACACACACACACAGATAATCACACATGCACACACACGCTCACATGCAGATGAAGACACGTATACATAGCAGAGTGTGTATAATTTCCCCTTCCCCCTGGTCTAAAATGGTAATGAGCTATAATGGGGTTGGGTTAATGAACAGGAGAAGAGCAAAGTTTTGGGGATGAAGGAGGCAAGGAGTGTGTGTGAGTACCGTCACATGGCTCATTTACCAAGATTGTGTGTCTGTAAAATATCAGACCTCCGTGAGTCATAGCTGTCACTCCTGAAACACCACAATAATTGCGTTTGGAAAGCGAGCTCAGTGAAGGTCAGAACTCATTTTTACAGGGGACCTGAAGGTAAAACCAATTACAGCTGTGTTGGTACATTAGTGCTTTCGTGTTTTCTTGCATGATTAAAGGTCAAAATCAATCAAAATATTAGCAATAGTCGGTTAGAAATCCATGAAATTTGAATGTCAGTCTAACAGAACTGACATGTGTGTGTGTGTGTGTGTGTGTGTGTGCGTGTGTGCGTGTGTGCGTGTGTCACAGGACACAATGTCATGTCACAGTGGCACACTTAATATTCACTCCTTCAATGCATGACTTTTTTTTTGTGCCAGCAAGAGTGCAGCATCTTTCTCTTCCCTTACGTGTAGCAGTTGCTGCCTTGTATGGATATAGATTTAAACCCTATAGGCCCTGGACTCCCATTTGTAGGTACGTTTTTTGGCAAAAAAGTGGATGAATAAATAAATGTGAAGGAATTTGTGGTTTCTAAATAGTACCTGAACACATCTGTCTGTCTTGACTTTGTGCTTGCAGAGTGTCGCGTGGTGAAATCTGTAAACTATGGGAAGATGTCTGGCTCTCTGACCCGAGGCTCCCCTAGGACCGTCATCCAATCAAGACGCAGCAAGTCCCCTGCATCCGGTAAGAAGAAGAAGAAGAAGAAACTTATTTCACAGTTTCTTCTTCTTTTTTCCCTCTTCCTCTCAAGCAACCTATTTGTTAATGTATTTTGGCAGGGTGTCATTTCCCTGTAAGATATCTGAGCTGTATCCTTGCATCTGTGTGTTTGTGCACGAAGCCTGTGTGCAGTGTCTCAGACCTGATGGACACAGCTGGGAGTTGTTTGTATCCTAATACTTCCTCATGTGATTGCTTTGTATTTTCTAGCTCATTACTTAATCAGCGTCGCAGTAAATGAAAACAGTATGAATAAACACTGCAATGAAATCAGGGCTCTGCAGAGTGTCTGCCAGTGTTTACTGTGTGTGTGTGTGAACTGTGTCTCGTTGCATGCAGAATATGAATTTGAATGAGAATGATTTTGCAAGGGAGTGGAGAAAAAGGCAAACATGGATGAGAGAGGTAAAAAAAAAAGAGGGGGAGCGGGAGTAAAGATGAGAGGGAAAGAAGAGGGTTGGTGACTCAATCCTGCAGCTCCCCACAAGCCGTTCTTCACCTGACATACTAATGAAATGTAATAAAATGGTGAGAGCTTGCACTGGTACCTGCTGCAGTGTTTGTGCCTGATAATGATGCTGTTATGAATGTCTCAAAACAAAATCCCCCTCTGAGGCAAAAGCAAAGCACAAAAATGTTCTCAGATAAAATAGGGTTTCGAATTTAACATCTGGATACATGCTTCCATTAATGCAGCAGTGTGTGTGTGAGTGTTTCTGTGTGGCAAACATTCAGTCTGCAGCTGAGGACTTGGTGATAACTTTGAAGCTTTATCAGATATCAGGTCATTATTTTCTTGACTGCACTGTTTGAGCTTTGGATGTGTGTAAAATGCCCAGTCATGCAACAGCACACTTGACTTTTCACCATTACTGTTTTTGTTTGTTATTTCATATTTTATTTTGAGTGCAGGGAGACCTATTGGGTTGGGAAAGATTTGATGGGTGATGCAACATATAGAAACTCCCCAGACAGAAATCATTCCACCTGCTGTTGAAGCAGCATGCAGACACACTTTTTTGCCTCAAACTAGTTATGTAGCACTGCTGAATGAAACCTAACAGCCACTAATATGTTTTGTGTCGAGCTGCGGAGAAAAAGGCGAGGCACAGGGAAAAGCAAGGGGGGGGGGGACAGAAACAGCTGGGGTGAACAAAGAAAGTTCTGGATGCTGATGGCTCGAAAACTTTGGGGAAAAAGGTTATGTGAGTGAGTCATACGCTATCTGATCTCGCTGGCTGAAGCAAGTCTGGAATGATGGTGTATACTAATGTGTGTGTGTGTGTGGGAGAGAGAGAGAGAGAGAAAACAAGAGACTGAGACAGAGGAGACTCGTCTTGGTTGCCATGGAAACATAGCACAGTAGGAGCATGTAGCTACAGACACAATAGCCTGTGACAGCCATATATGGCAGTGGCTTCCTGTGAAATGGCCTGCAGTGGAGAAGCGGAGCTGACTGACGCTCGGTCCTCGCTGGAACCCTGAGTCAGACCGTCCCCGACGTTTTTCACTTCTGAGAAATGTTCCCCTTCTGGCGCTGCTTCCGCTACTTAACATCATCAAAATGTTCCCAGACTGCTGTTGACTGTTTGGTGCCGCACAGTATTAATTCCCCAAAACATCATCAGTTTGTACCAGAAGAGTTTAGAGTGGAGCGACAGGAGAAAATCACCCTAGCTGACACTTACTCTAGTGTTCACAATGAATATAATAAAGGAGTTGCTGTTTTTTTTTTTTTTCAGTTTAGAAGCACAGCATGCCCCCTTCCCTTGAGGACAATTTGTCTAAGAATTATGCTAATAGTCAGCAACAGCTGATACTGTGCGCTCTACCACATGGCTTATAGAGGTACCCATCCTGTTGTTATTCCACGTGTTCACAAGAAGGCCTTATGTGCTGTCTCACCACTGATAATGAAAATTAAAAGACTGCAATCAGATAGAGCAGAATATCCCACACTATGATGGATGAGTGGAACTAATAACAAAATTCATAAATTCACTGGGTCACAGTTTGATGTAACACTTAATTTGTAAATTATTATCACAATGAAGTTGAATAATTTAGAGTTAATATTTGAGAAAAAATATTATATATAACTATTGTATTGTGTTTTATAAACAGTATCAAATCAAAATATATCTGAAATGATTTGTCAAGTTGTCAGTTGACAACTGATTTACAGAAAATGTAATTGATTAGTAATTTATCAAGCAAAAATGCCAAGCTTTGATGGTTTTATGTGCCACTTTTCTCTTTTTTAGATAATTGTAAATTGAATATGCTCAGGTTTGTTAACGTGTTTTACAGACAAAACAAGCGATTTAAAGATGTCAGCTTGAGCTCTGGGAAGTTTTGATGAGCATTTTGACAACTGTTTGTTTAGTCAATGATTTAAAAAAAAGATTATTATTAGTAGTAGCAGCCCTAAATCAAACTAACTACTTTAAAATATAACAAAAACAAATAGTTGTGACAAAGTCAGGGGAGATTTCCTCTCAAAAATGTTTGATTCAACAAGGGAATCAAAAAGGTTGGTCGCCTGTTGTTTCTGAGTTTACAGCCTCATCCGTAATGTGTGTGTGCGTGATTTATAGATATGCAGTATGCACAGTTTTCTGACATCAAGGCTGAAATTACTGTCAGGAAATATAAGATGTCTGTCATCTTAATGTTGTCTAATGGACCTTTGGCCTTAATGCACTGACAACAAGTTAATCTTTAGCAAAAGAGAAAGATAATTTACCTTAATTGTTGACACTCCAGTCTAATCTCCAGCTAAAACAGGGTTGTCTAGTTTGCATCTTTGTATTAGTTGTATTATGATAATAATAGGGCTTTAAGCCCATTACCTCTGCAGAATAATGCATTTAGATGAAAGCTTAATTATTCTAAATGTTATCTTATCACAGCATTCGTCAGCTATTTAATTAAAACGACACTCAGAACCTTTTAATCGGAGACAATAGCAATGGAATTAAAAGAATGGACAGCAGTCTATTTATTGATATTTATTTTAGAAACCAATAGGAGCTTATTATTTATCATGCTCACTTGGAAAAAGCACAATAAAGAAAGCCATTATCTTTAAGCCTTGCTGAAGGTGTTCAGGTGTTCTGAGAGTCCCGTATTCATTTCCCTTTCAGCCAACACAGCATTAATAACATTCCTTATCACATCTAATAATCTGGACTGAACGAGCTGCACAGAGAAGATGTGAAACGTGAATTATATCTGAGATCGTGAAAGAGAAATAGCACAACACATGTGCTGTCAAACACGACCTGGTGACCCTCTGTGTCTGGTTGCTCCTTGTTGTGTTTGTTTACAGCTTAGACCTCTGTGTGAGGGACGGACAAACAAACTGGTGAGACAGACAGAGATCAGAGACAGTCGCATACTGGAGTCAAAGAAATCCAACAGAGGATCTTATACTGTAGGATTAAATGTTAAATTATAATGTATACAGTGCCTATAAAAAGGGATTCATCCCCTTGGACCTATTTATGTTTTATTTTTTTATAACATTACTCACTGTGGATTTAGTGGCTTTTTGACACTGGTCAACAAGAAAAGATGTTTGTATAAACAGTACAATTTAAAATACAAAGTACACGTTTGCATAAGTACTAACACATTTAATGGGACTTGTCTCATTCATCCACTGGTGCAGCCATTTGTTTTACAAATTATATGATTTGTTAAATATGTGGTGCGGACAGGTGGGACAAGGGGCTGTAATTATGTTGAGAGGCAACCACAGTATTCAGTATAACAATCTTTTAACAGCTTTCAGCAATTTGCACATTTCTTTACCCATCTAAAATCAAATGTGAATCAATTTTTCCAATGTGATTTGAAATTTAGTTTAATTCACTTTAAGGTCAAATTCAAAACTATATTGACTTTGTAAATATAATGGTCACATAAAGTTTTTAAAAAGAAACCAATGAGAAAGTATGGAACATTCTTCTGGCCTTATTACCATTATTGCACACCCCTTGGCTAGTAGAATTAGTATAGAAACTTGTCCTCCTCTTTTTCCTCAATCTTCCCATTGCTTACTTAATGTTGCAATATATACTTTATTAATACCTATTAGGACCCCATACATTAACCAAGGGAAAATGTCTAGCATACCAGGGATGTGGGTGGGAGGTAGTGGGGGGCCCTTGGTTTGGTTCTTTGTCTGTCTGTCTCATGTGTCATTTGTTTATGGAGATCATGGTTGTTCAATAAAAACACCTAAAAAAATGACATAGCTTGTCATATCTTACAGAGATTTAATGTTATTGTTAATTGAACTAATCAGTCACAGTCATTTAGTGTGTTTTCTTATGTTGTGCTGAGAGTACGTATACCCATTTACTGTATGATAAAAATGTGTAAAAGCTGTCAATGTAAAACATTATACATATATTACCAAAATTGAGAGGAGAAGGTGGAAGATAAAGTGATACATTTCTATTACAAATCGTGGATAAAACTCAAAAACAGCTGGAACTAAATGGCACGAGAAAGACTGTGAAACTTTTTTGTCTGCTTTCTATCTTCAGTTTTGCTTTATCAGACTAGACAAACACATTTTGTCATCGAACATGAGCCCTCTGAGAAATATAGCGAATCAACTTAGAAACACAGTTGTAACAAACAACTTTTCAGATTGTTTCCCAGCACACATAGAAGGTAACTGTTCTTCCTTGCTCTCACTTAAAAACATCAAAGCATACAGAACGTATGTGTTAGCAGGTCTCAGTCTAATGCTTGCCTCTCTTTATTGTGCAGTAATCGATCAATAATTTTGATGTAGACAGTGAGAATATTTTCATGAATTTCAATAGATTCAATCTTAAGATACAAATTACATCTTGACTTTTTCTGACCGACCTTCAGTGATTACAACAACTGATTAAATTTCAGCCACAATTTCATTCACCTTGAACTTTCAAGGTAATCTCGCCCTGTTGAGAGAAATACCAGTGATCCACACTCATATTGAGCAGGGTCTGATGTGGCGTCATTTTTGTGTGTGTTTGTGTGTCTGTGGGCAGGTTGTTGTTGCGCGTCAGCCTGACAATGTCATCGCTCCAGCTTCATTTTGTGATGATCTCACAACCCCAGCTGAGCTCCTATAGACACACACAGAGAGACCCAAAATAATGTGAGAAAACAATTTGCACTCAGACATAGTTCTCTCCCTGTCTCGCCATCTGTCTCCCCGCTCTCTTCTGATGCCTCATGTCAGCTAAAATTAACAGAGAGCTGCAGATGGTGTCAGCAAACATCACTTCAGATACTTCAGGGATTCACCTTTCTCTTGCTGTCATGAGCAACTCTGCATGACGGGAAAGACTTTATGGTGAAGTGTGCGGGGCCAGCCTACCCACACATAAATCCAGCGTATCTCCAGAGGATCGGCTGCCGGCTGTGACACTCTGAACTGTAATCGCGTGATGTATGCAGCCTTCACCATTTTTCTTGCTTTATAGAATAGGGTAGGGTATAGGGTAGAAATGTATTCTCTGAACAGATAAGCACAGGGAGTGTAACAAATAATAGAGGCTGCAAGAAAAACAAATGAATAGCCAAGGCATTATTGATATTTGCACTAAAGACAGGTACTGACACGCCTCCAGGCAGCTTTGTGTTTATGAAACAGCATTGCATTGACACTCTGTTCTGTACTTTCTACAATATTTGTAATTTGTAATGTTCAACAGTGTGCTTACTGTATAGGAGCAATTGTCCCGAAACATTTCATGAGGTGCAGTTCCGATTTTGTGTGCTGAATTTCCCAGAACACCCTTTGACAGTCCTCATAGAAAAGGCACAAACTTCCATTTGTTATCATAGGTTTGTATTAAGAACCATATGTTTGTGATTATACATGTTTCATTTTTACAACAGAGTATTTGTGTGATGAGGTGGGGTTCTTTAGAAAAAAAGGTGTAATGATATACACATGTGATGCAGAACACATCTGATAAAAGGGAAAAACGTGATTGGTCAGCTGTGAAGACCAGTTTATCCATTAAGGCTATTATTGATTAAGTCTTTCCCAAGATGCAGAAGATAGAAAAAAATACCCACACACTGATTTAGCATCTGTCATTCTGACAATATTCAATAGAAACTCCTCAGTATGTGTAGAGCTAGGCTATAAATCAATTAAATTAATTCACACACATTTAAGTTTTAAAACTAAGCAAAAAGAATTCAGAATCAAGAGTTCAGCTACAAATGTTATAATGTGGGGACAGAAAGCTGCTGAAGACTGTAAAACACTGTAACGCTGAATGTGTAGAATCAATTATTTTAATATAAAAATCGTCAATCAGATATTGTGCGTGAAAAAAGCTGAGATTTATTTTTAGGCCCCTATCGCTCAGTCCTGGATTTAGGCCTTTATATTGACCCATATAGCTTGCCATAGTTGTAGCTTTTATTTTTGTTCACAGCTAATGTGTTGCTTGCCAACAGTATTTTGTTGTTTCCCATGACAAAATGCATTTCTTCCAGATAATAGAACTGTATTCTATTCTATTCTATTAATGCATCGTTTTTATCATCAGTATATATATTAGATTTAGTGTCATGACTCTAGGGATGGCAATGTTGCTCTGTCGGTCAGTCCACCACTCTGGTTCAGACTGAAATATCCCAGTAGCTATTGCATAAATTGCCATGAATCTTTTTTTACAGACATTCGTGGTCCCAAGAGGATGCATTGAAATAAGATAAAAATCGCTTAACTTTTCAACTAGGGCCTTCATCAAAACAAAGTCTGAATTTGTCCAAAACTTTGGTTTCGCCTCAGATGTACTTTGTGTTGTGCTCGTGCTAATTAGATAATAATTAACCAATGTTAGTTAGCAAATTCTAACCACTGTGCCTAGTAATGCCTTAAAGAGATAGATTTTTCTTGTTTTCTACTTTGGCATTGAAAATGCTTGAATTGACTCATAGGTGCTACTTCAACTACATGAAAAGCCTAAATAAAAATACAAATATTAGAATTTCTGTTGGCTGCTAGTTGTGTGAAATCCAGCACATCACAGACAGACAGACAAACACATGAGGTGCTTTTTGATATTCATCGCTGGCGCAGCTTAACACAATAGGTGTGAAAGAAGCTGTAACACACCATCTTTTGTGGCTGCATTGCATTCTGGTATGTTGCTCCTCAGATTTCTCTGTGTGTCAATGTTGATGCAAGATGAATGTAGAAAGAAACCATTACATTCATCCGACAGATGCTTTTGTCTGAAGCAACTTGCATCCAGCTGGAAGTTGGGGCTTCAGTGTTTTGCTCAAAAGGCACTTTGACACGTGGAACCAGGCATCTAACCACCAACCCCCACGATTAATTAATAGATGATCGGTTCTACCACTATACACTGCTTCATACTCTTGTTTATTGACCTTTTCTAATGTACCACTGATGTTTCAGCTTATTGAACATCTTTCTGCTTTCAGTTAACTGCCTGAAGAGCACCCAGCTACATAGCTGATGCTTTGGGGTGAAATTTCAGTTCAAAAATAGCAGCATTACTTGCTGAGGATGTTTGGATAAGGAACAATAGAGCCCTCAGAACCAGGACAGACTACCTCCAAGTCTCCATGTGACTCTCTCTCTCTTTATACTGGTATATACGAGTCATTTTCTTAAAAAAAAAAAAAAAACAACTCCAGAATATAAAAACGTGTAGATTATTTTCTTTCTCTCATTGTCCTCGTCGTCGCTTCTATCTCTCTCCTCTCTCTCTCTCTCTCCCTGTCCCCGGTGCGCGTCAGAGTGTGCGCAAGCAGCCTCTCCGCCTCTCCGTGTAGTACAGCGCTGCTCCGTCTCTCCCATTCACCACACTTTACTATCACACTCGGACGGACGGAGCGCGTACACTGGTGCTGTTCTCCTTCTTCTCGTTACCCCGCTTTGGATTATCACTGTGTTTTTCATCATGCTGGAAGTGGAAGGTAGGAACTCACAACGACGTTTTATTCGGCTTTTTTTTTTTACGTAAGCGGTATTTGTCATTTACCCCCACCGACCGCGTAAACTTTATCCGTTCCTGCTCGGATCATATGTGGATAAATATATATCCATATATATATCCACCACTGCGGATTGTTTTGGTTATCATTGACTTTGCGAAGTGCTATGTTGTCATGTTATAGTATGAAGTGAATGAGAGATGTCTTTAAATATTCACGCTTATCGTTGTGTAACTGGGAGGAGTGTCTGTCCGTGTGCGTAACGCTGATGCTGAATTTCATCAATGAAAATGTCAAGGAACAATAGGCCAAGCTCGTTTCTTTATTTCATTTTTTTTCATGGCGCGTTTTGACAATTAAAAATACTTGTGTAAAATACTTGTGTAATACCAGTGGCAGCCGGTGCTATTTTAGTCTGCTGTGGGCTTTTTCTCCTTTTGTATTGAATAATTCAGAAAGTTCTTTGATGTCGGCAGGGGAATACACATTATACGATGAAGGTTGGACCACTTTGCTCCCACAGGTTTCACTGCATCAAGAGGGGTTGTTTCGGAAAACGTAATTAAGAGTGAGAGTGCAAATGAAATATTGTTTAAATGCAGCAATGTGAGAAAATAGGTTCGGAAATGGCAGAAAATAATGAATCTACACTGGATCTTTGTCATTTAGATCAATTTTCTCCATAGGAGGGTTTTATTATTGGCCATTAAATACCTGTCACCGCCCTAGAGGTCACATAATTTATATAACATCCAGACCATCTAAGCTGATTTTCAGAACTCCTGGTTGGTGTCCTGATTGCCATTTTTGTATTCTCCAATGATTGCACTTTTATAGACCTGTAGGTCAGTGGAGGCGAAGCAGTGTGTTGTTGCCAAGAAACAATAATAATAATGTTTTGAGCAAAATGAAAGACATTTTCATCTTTGGTGTGCAGGTTAATGATGCCATCAGGCTGTTTTCAAATCTGGCTTTTGCTTGACCACACACAGGACTCGGGTGCAGCGTTAATTAATCCAATGTTCTTGTTTAATGAGGTGATGCTGCTGGGTTTTTGTGCTGTGCTGCAGCTGGAAAAGTAGACCGAGCTGAGGTCACAAGTGCATTGAGGATCTGGTTGAAAACGAGGACAGCCTGGTGTTGTATGTTTACTTACAGCCATGCACTTTTTTATCCAGCTCACGTTATGGTTAAAGGCTCTGGTATGACTGGCTTGGGTTTGTATTTTGGTAATTATTATGTAAAAAAAAGAGCAGTGTGGACTTCAGTGCTCTTTTCCTTTCTCTTCTACTCCCCCTCTTGTCCTCCTCCTCCTCTGGCTCATTCATGTGAATGGATACTGAGGGCGGAAGTGTGGGCAGCTGCTAGACACTCAGAAATATAACTGTTTTAGAAAACATGGATTCACATTTAAAGGATAATCCGTTTCAATATTTTTATTTTTTTATTTTTAAGTCTCACCCCTCTCATCCTCACTGCTCCATTTACTCTCTTGTTTTATCCCTCCAGTTAACGGGACGCCGGCCAGTCAGTTGTCCACTCCTCATTCGGGAAAATCTCCCAGCCCCTCCCCGACCAGTCCGGGCAGCCTCAGCCAACGCCGGGTAAGACAAGAATACACAGCCAAAAGGACACAAACACACACACAAACAGTCACACATGACATTTAGTAACACTAAATCTATAACACATTCCTTCTATGTTCTCAGGAAAAGGACAAAGCCGTGACTGAGCATAGGCCGACTACATCTTAGAGTCGCTAGAATATGAAGAAACCACAACATCCCAACATCTTTAGGGTCTCAGAAGGGGGTGGGGCATTGACCTTTGACCTCATGCTGTGCTGCTCTGCGATTCCAAGAATGGCAGGCTCGTGTTAGGATCCTCTAATGTTACAACTTTTATTCAGTGTTAATAGTTTTCTAGGGCAATTCCTCCTTTCATGCTGATTTTCTGTCACGTCCCCACATATGCTAAACCCGTAGCTCTTTGTCCCTCATGGAGAACTCTATCTTCCTTTGGTAGCTAAACAATGAACGATGCTATCACTGACTTTTAGAGATCTGTGAGTCGGTAATTTGTGCAATATCTGATCTAAAGATGAGACTGATGATTGGCTTTGCCCGCTCCAAAAATTGGTTTGCATCCTCTGTTAGCCGCCAAGCAGTGAAAAAAATAGGACCCAATCAGTACCAACGGCTGATCTAGGATTACTTTTTTTTTTTTATCAAGTCATGTCATTTTGTGCATGTCCTTTTTGTGAAAAAGTTTAGAAAAAAACATTTTATACTAGTAAATCAGATTATTTCAGCCATTGTTTCTTTTTTTATCATATATTATATTGGCTGGGGTTTAAAAAATCCTTGTTAAAACATCTAAACCAAGAATCCTAATCTGTTTTCTGTAGCAAACAGGGAAGTAAGAGGATCTGTCCTGACATGCAGACACACTATGTACACTGTAAAGCTGGTACTATACTGTAGAAAAAATACTGTGCAGAGAGGGAGCATGCAACTCAAATGGAAAACCTTGAATTCCACATTAGAGAGGCTGAGGTCATGTGCATGGTGTTGTGTGTGTGTGTGCACACATATATGTGTATGTGTGTGTTCAAGTATTTGTTAATCCAGCACTTGACAGTGATGATGGTGAGCTTTTAATATCAGCCTCGGTTCTAATCAGACCATGTTTTCTCACAGCAGCTCTTTAATTCGCAGGAGCCTCTAAGCCTGCCGCTGATTTACTTCCTTCTCCCTCGTAAACAAACGCGCTCGTTTCACCTCACCCTCTCATGTTCACATACAGACGCAGCAGTATATGCAAACCTGTCATCCATTCATATCGGCTCCCACCTGCACGTGTTTCTTTGTGTTTTTCTCGAGCCTGCTGTCTGAAACTGCTTGTGTGTACCACTTTTCTACCTGACAGCGGGGGTGTAGCTATGATGCTATTTATTGGTGCAGGCGCAAGGCTTTTTTTTTTTAGGGAAGAAAAGGCAAGAATGTTGGTTGGAGTCAATCCAGTCTACGTGTATGAAGGATAAGCATACATTAGCATTGCATAAAGAATTCAGTTTTTTGGGCTCACTAGCTTCAATCTCGTGCTACATTTGTTGTGCCGGGACAAATTAATGGATGGTGGAGAGTCTGGCCCCTAGGCTTCTGAATCCATCACTGCTGAGGTTATATTGATGCGATATGAAGGTCTGCCAGGGCAACAGGAACAGATCACATTTGGGTTATAGCTACTCAGAACAGAACACTGGAGCTTCCACAATCTGTATTGTGGAAGTGGGTCACCAAAGATTTCTTTGTTGAAAGGGAAAGAGTCTCTGAATGAATATGTGCAGGGCAATTAATGCAGACAATTACAGTGCTCAGTTTCTGCTGCTCTGTTCTTTCCTTCCAGATAATTTTCACACTGTCAGAGAGAGATCCGGAAAAAAAACCCAACAGGGGTTAGAGAGGTGAAAGAGGACTAACCAGATGTTATGAGGAAAAGGGGAAAGAGAAAATCCTCTCCACATTCAACCACACACTGCCTGCCTTTTGCCTCTGTACACTTTTCTCATCAAACAATCACAAATTAGCTTTGTAGTGCAGTGCTGACCTCAGTGACACTGCAGTTAAATTCTAGTTGTACAGAGTTTCACAAGATGAGTGTGTATTTCTCAATGAGAGATTACTCCGGCCTTTGTACTGGCTGACACTCTATACTAAGCCTGCGATGGCTTGGCTAGAAGGAAGGGAGGACGCCTCACAGCCCATTATCTCTCCTCTCCACCCTGCAGCTTCACACTCTTGAGCTATATGACGATGTAATTCTCTCCTCCACTTCTTACTGTTAGCAATTCTCCCTCTGTCCCTTCCCTCCCTGACAGTTTCTAATTTCTCTTTCCCTCTGCCCCCCCCCCCCCCTCCAATTCTCACCATCCCCCCTCTCACTTCCTCATCTGAAAGGGTATTAACTTCAGAGGGAGTACATTATATTCCATCATTTCCCTTGTAGATGAATTCTAAGCTTCTTTAGGAAGTAGGCGCCAAGTTTCTGACACTATTTTTGCACATCTTTTCTCCTTCTGTGTCACCTCTGTGTATACGTGCATGAATAATCATAAATGTACCTTTCTCGCTCGCACGCCCCAAATGCATAAGTCAATTTAACCAAACCATGACTCAGAAATGACAATTTTCCTTAAAAGGAAACCTGAATTTTAACATCTGTCTTTAAAAGAACACCTGAAGGCTCAAAAATGACTAAAATCTTTTTGAAATTTCAGCCAGTAAAGCATTGAAAGCCACCATAAATCAATTTCCTAAGCAGCCATAGAGCCTCACTGACCTACTACGAGTACTGCATTTAAATAGTTCACCCCGCTGGACCCTGCATTTAAACACTTAGAGGCACTTTGTGGCCTGATGTAGGTTGCTCGCGCAGCTCAGACCATCACAACCTATTTCCCCGAGCAGAATATACAGACATAGCATTGCACTATGGCTTTCTCCTCTCCCGCTCACCGTACATAGCTGCAAGCACACATCTTCATATAAATTGCACACAGTCATGTATACTTCAGAAAAACACTTTTATACATGAAATTCCCATTTGTGCACAAACGGTAGACAGTTAGCTTGATACATACTACAAATACATGTTATATGTTTTATACATTTGGTGCATGCTAGCGTGACCTGTTTTTATGAGTTAGCAACAGAAGCACGGAAGAATGGTCTACATTCATGAAATCAGCCACCCCCCCCTTCTCCTCCTTTGCACTTCTAATAGTCCTTTCAGGGCCACTTGCCTCACTGAGAGCAGCTTTCCATATTCAAATTGTTTTAATATTTTATATGAACTCTACAGACACAAGCATCCACGCAGACACACACCCTGGGTATATTGTGTTTTCACTCCCCCCAAACATACAGATGAATTAAATGAGCTGGTAAGGTCAAAGCTTTTGAAAAAAAAAAAGACAGGAAAATAAATCCAAAAACAAAGACAATACGCAGAGCAGTGACTGACAGATTGAAGGAAAGAGAAACAGCAGGTCTATGATGCCAATACAGCTGCTGTGATACAGCAAGGTAGCTACTTATGTGAGTGTACGAGAAAAGAAAAGTGCTAATTGTCAACCGTAGTATGTCACCTACATCCTCCTCTCACCATTGAGTCATTCGTGTCCATAATCCATTGAATTGCATGCTCCATCTCTTATTATTACGGTCCATATTTTGTGTTGGGTGAATCATAATTAAATTATGTTTGTGAGTGTATGTGTGTGTGTGAGAGAGAACGAAAGCAGACTGAAGGACATTGTGTGTATTATAAACTTGTTAATTATTGTCTTATCTCATCCATGTGAGTTTGTCGTTACTAAAGATTGTATTTGTTATTTGACTGTGTTATATTTCCTTTTTCATGTTGTGTTGATGTCTTTAGATGTCCAATTCTTTTTTTTCCTTTACCTGCCAAAAAGACTGGCTCCAGCACATGAGGAAACTGTTGAAGATGCAGTTTTAAAGCTTAAACATTGTTTGTTGAACATTGTATCCCTTCATATTAAATATATTGTTCAATGATTCAAATCTGGCTCATATTTAACTATCTTTCATACATCTAAAAATCGGTAACATCACATTTTGCAGAGGGCTTCAGGGTATTTTTTTTTTGCACTGCAATTTACAATTGTCTGTGAGCTCCACTCACAGGCAAGTTATATTTGACAACCTGGTCCATCATCTACTTATTGCGATTTTGTCATGTAAGGCTGCCAGCTCTTCTTGGCTCATTTGTTTCTGTTTGTATTTTCTTTGCTTAATGTATTAATTTCCATTTGTTGATGTCCATTAAATTCATTGTCATTTCATTTTCATTTTGTGTGCTTTTTTTTTCCTCCTCATGCTCCTTGTTTGTGTTGATTAACACTTGTTCATTATGTTCATCGCATGCAAAAACAAATATTTCCAGTAAATGGATGATCATATACATGCTTATCAGTGGTTCTGCTTTATTAAACTCACATCTGTATTCAGCAGAGCAGAGAAGAGATTACACAAATGCAGTCCCAGAGGTGCATTCATCTCCTCTGTCCCACTGCTTCTGTTCTGTTTTTTTTTTTACTGGATGAAGCAGCTCAAGTCTCCCTCCCATTTTTTAATTTTGCCTAAAGCTTTTAGTCACGTTCCTGTGATTTCCCAGGATTTACTGTCCATAAGGATCGTGATTAGTAAACTTCCCTGTGTCCAACTGGCAGAGCAGAAATCCTGAATCCCCAAACATTGTTGATCTCTTTAGATGAGAGTCAGATAGATTATGTTTCCTGTCCGTCTAGACACCAAAATAAGACCCAAGAAATATTATCTCCTCTACCTTGTGTTGTTATGAGAGAAGCAGAGTAGGAACTTGGGACAAAACAAAGTACCCTGTTTCTATCTAATCTTATTAGATTTTTTCACAGAAGCAAACACCAATAAATCCTGCTTTTGCTGGATATTGCCTGACAGTGAAAGTGACAAGAAATGCTGCTTAGAGAAGAGGTTCGGCTCTCTCAGCCTGAGGGACGGGGAAAAAGAAGGCTTTAGGATGTGTGTCGTCTAACAGTTGCATTGAGGACAAGGCTAGCACCACACTTAAGATGCTTTTGCAAATGCGATGTGGCATTTTTTTATGCATACAGCTGACAAGACTTCCTTTTCCGCCACAAAATAAATCACCATTTCTACTGCTACACAGAGATGACACTCCACGTTTAAGGTCAATCATGGACATCCTGTTTAATTCACATTTATGCACTGATCAGTATTCAGTTGCCAAGTGTTGCCCTTGTGGGTTTGAAGAGCAGTGGCTGCATCCATGATGTTAAAGGTTTGTCAGTGTGTTTTCAGAGGTGTGAGTCATAGCCAGTGCAAAAGAGTAGAGATGTAGAGCTAGGAATAGTGTGTCTTGTATTGTGCAACAGGGACAAAGCTGGACCGTCTAACAATAACAAGACAGTTCCTGCAAGTGATCAATATCAACCAGACCGGACTCCATAGGCTACATCTATCTTTCTGTCTCTTCATTCCCCTTCCTCTGTTCCTCACTCTCTTTCTCACTCTGTCTGACACTCCATCTGTCTCGTAGTTTCTCCACACAGGAAAGAGAGACACAATGTTCATAGAAGGTTGAACCCACCTCCCAGCCCGCAGACAGGAAATGGCCATATATAGGCTTTCTGTCTCCACACTGGAAGTCTCATAAGCTGCCTCTCTCTCCTCTCTGTGAGCAGTTTCCATAGCAACAGTATTTTGTTTCCCTCGGTGGCAGGAAGAGCGAGATAGGAGTTCAAAATGAGAAAGCGAGTAGCGGACAGGGCTGGATGTGAGATAAGGGCACAAGAGTGGCGAATATACGAGTCGTATGAGAAAATAAAAGAGCGGAAGAAGGATGTTTTGTAGATAAAGCACAGGAGGGTCATCGGCTTTACGGGCATTAAGTGGGTTTTCTTGTTCCGGGAATGAGCGCCCGACCAAAAACAACATTACATAAACCAAATTCAGACTGACTCACAGCCACATTCACCTGGGTGGCTTTCAGGTCACAGCAGTAGAGATGAGTAAAAGAGCTGACAGCTACTTGGGCAGAGATATAGGGCAGCTCCACTCTGTAAATAGTTTTCAGAACTAAGTCATTATGATGGGTTGCCTTTTCCTCCCTCCGCCATGACAACAAGCTCTCCAGGCTGTATCTCAGTCTGACTGGACACCACAGAAATAGAAGGTTCACATGAGGAAAGAACTGAAATCAAATGAAAAAAATGCTTTTATTTTGGTCTGTATATGGTCTGCAGCCCTTTTTGTACATCATTTAGGCTACATGCACATTCTCCTTCACAGTTCATCAGTTCCCAGCAAGCATTTTGACATTGAATATATGTGCACTGTGTTGAAAACTTTGTGATTTTTGTTTTGTTTTGTGAACTTTTACCATGCTTTTTCACAGCAGCCATTTTGACATGAAATAGTAGGGTGAACACAAGTGTTACCAATGATACTAATTCTAGTGAGCCAATAAGCACAATAGCAGCATCCTGACTTTGTTTCACCTGGCTTGCTGTGAAAAAGGCCTATCGTCCTTTGATGCCACATTTTGCCTCCTTTTAAACGTCACCTTGTTACAAAGGCTTTCAGGGCTATTATCATAATGATGACCGGCATCCATTAAGCAGCAACAGTTTTTTTAGATATCATCTCTCATCTATCAAGAGTTGGGACTGATTGATGTGTGAATTATACTCTGTGGTGTTAATTTGTCATGAGAGAGCATCAGAAATACTACACCTGCACTGAGATGAAAGATGAGAGAAAAAGGTATAATCGGCTAGACAACATTAGTCAGAGGTGGCCACCAACAGACTGCTGATGCACTGCTCTCTGTCTCTACATTTCAGGCAAGTTGCACATGAAGATTGAGGTGTGCATCATGCATTTAAAGCTCAAAGTGCATCATTCACATTTGCCAGGGGGCTACGCTTATGTTAGAGAAAATGTGATGGCGTCCACCTCCATCAGTGGCCACATTACATGTGCCGGCTGCACCTTTCGGACTTATTCAAGCACTGCAAACCCCCAAACCACAATGATTTTCACTGCTGTGTCCTCAGGGCTGACTGTGAGGCAGGGGAGGAGAGTGAGAAAATGATTATTGTTATTATTGAACAGTTGAAAAATGTTCATCTTACAAATTAAGAGACCAGCCCTCCTGACAGGTGCCTGCAACGACAAATGGAGCATAATCAAATTGTCCAAATGCAGGAAATGAATTTGAAGCCAAGGAGGACGAGAGGAGACCAGAAAGATGAACAGGAGTAGAGAAAAGACAGAAATACAAGATTTCTCATTTACAGTCCCGACTAGATCCTCACTCCCCACCCTTGTTGCTTCCATGACAACCAGACGGAAGGTTAGGAGGTGGAGGGCGTAATGAGTTTTTGTCTTTAGATAGATGCAGACGCCGCATCTCAGCCACCTTCTTTTGCCTTAATGACCTCCTACTTCCCAACCAGATGAAAGCCAGTATTCATCTGCCTTTATTAGTGTCACCAAAACCTTTATGTTTTATTAAAGGTAGAAGTAAGGAGTGAGAGGAAGGTGCAATTACATAGGAATTACTTAAAGTTCTGTGAATGGAGAAGAGCTTATTGGGATGCAGGCGTCTGTCCCAGCATGGACACACACAGGTGCTTTGCTGAATAAATAACCGGTTTATATTCAGCTCAGTAGCTTAAGTAAATCTGTTCTGGCTCTTTTTGTGAGCACAGTGTATACATAACACAAGGCCGCACAATACACCAGACAGACATGCAAACACAAAGACAGATTTAAGGATGTTCTGAGGATGGGTTGCACAATGTCCTTTTTGTCTATTTTTGGATATACTTATTTGTTTCAGCTGGGATTGTCGAAGAAGAGACTGTTTCATCATGTTGTGCTGATTATGGAGTGGATTAATGCAGATTTAAATAATCGCCATTCCCATGTTTCTCTTGCCATCCTGCCCTCTGTCTACCCCTCTCCCTCTTTGCAGGGGTCCCAGGGTTCTTCCACCTCTCTGTCTTCCACTAAAGTTTCCAGCTCTGTGGAAGATGGGGATGGCCTGGTTACTGAAGGTGAGGAAAATGAATGTTACAAGAATGTCCCATCTGTCCATCAGTGAGCAAAGGCAACTCACTTGCAAATATCATGCATGTCTGAATCACGTTCATGACCTTTGATGCGTCTCGCTCTCTCTCTCTCACACCCATCTCTCCTGTGTCTGTGTTTTTCTTCTGATTTGTACATCCTGTTCTCATCAATTTCCTTTTCTCTGCTGTCTGTCTTCACCTCTCTGACTCCATACAACTCTGTAACACCACAAACAATGATGATGTGCTTTTCCTCTCTCTGTTTGTTGAGTCGTGGAACTCTTTATATACTTAAAGAGGAGCCAGAGAACCTTCTTAAATGGTAGAAATCAAAGTAATTGATATTTAACTGAACATCGATTGCATATATTTCTATTTTTATTTACCAATCGGTTCAGTATTTACTTTTCAATTTGCCAGCTTAATTTCAATTTAGAGAATATTATTTATAACTGCTGGTTTTATGTTTAAAGCTATTTTTAATAAGCTATATATTTTAAGCATCTGTAACAGTATTGATGTATTATTTACTTGGAAATCATTTAATGAATCCCTCCTTTTTGTTATTGTCCATTACAGTTGCTGCAGTAAATGTAGCCTGAAAAAAATTGTACAAAACACTGAACTGAACAAGTGTAAACTGGTTTATATCCTCGAGTCCCTCAGCTGCTCTAAACCTTGTGCTTCCTCCCTGCAGCTGAGGTTCTAGTCGATGAGGTTCCAGCTGTGCCGGCCTACATATCAGACCGCTACAAGGTGGGACGCATGTTAGGCGATGGGAACTTTGCGGTCGTCCGGGAATGTGTGGAGCACTCCACAGGACGGGAGTACGCTCTCAAGATCATCAACAAGGGCAAATGCAGAGGCAAGGTAAACTACAAACTATGCCTCCAAAGGCAAAGGAGTGCTGTACATTACCTGTAATTAGTTATATCCACTTCTATCTAAAAGTAGCCTGTAGGTAGCTTGCACACAAACAACTATCTTGCTTGCAGATGTAACCAAATACTGTTTGCAGTTTATCAGGCTACACAGTTATAAATGATAAAATCATAATTAAAGGACAACTTAATACTATCTAAAAATCACTCCCATCAGAAGTAGGAAAAACTTAAAATTTTGAACCAGAGAGGGCAAAGAAAAAGTTTTTCAGCCTGGTGTGAAGTTACTATTTATTCCTTTAATAAATGTGTCTCGCTTGACTATAAAAGAAAATTCAATTCTTATTCCAGGAGCACATGATCCAGAACGAGGTGGCCATTCTCCGCAGGGTCAAACATCCAAATATTGTCCTGCTCATAGAGGAGATGGACACTTACAACGAACTCTATCTGGTCATGGAGTTGGTCAAGGTGCGTGGCCGTGTTTGCATACTGTAATTACATGTTTATTTTTATGTGTTGGTGCGTCATCTGCTCCAGTTTTGGACAGGCTGGGATATTTGGCCAAACTGAGATAATAGATAGATGTGTTCTCTGCTGTATGCTGGCAATCATTATCTCCAATTTGAGAGCGACAAAGAGGAGCAGGGAGGCAGAAACGGTGACAGAGACAGAGCAGCACCATTCAACCAGTGAAGCAAATGATGAATTCCAACCAGTCACACAGTGTGGGATGGAAAGAATCGGTCTGTGGCCCGAAGCGCTCGTGTGTTCACATTCTTTATTCTCTCTCGCTCTCTGAGTCAAGAAATGTTTGTGCATAATTCAGGAGCCAGGAATGTGATCCATCTGTTCGTGTTGTGGTGTAGAGTACTACAGAATATAGATGAGAGGCAATCTGTGGAAGAAATGTGTGTACGTGTGAGTGTGTCCAAAGGAGGAGGATCGAGTGGAGGCTGTGGATGAATGAGGTGGAAAGAGTCATTTCAAGAATGACAAGGACTGAGAGAGGGAGAGAGACAGATGGATGCACTGAAAGGGGAGGCAAAGTGCAAAAAAAGTAAGTAAGTAGCCAAAAGTATGGTATACATATAGTTTTGTGTCATTTTGCCTGGTGCTGTTTGGGGCTAGGCCCCTCAGTTAAAATTAATTCAAAGCAAGGCCCATAAAGAAATGTTTTTTATAAGATGGCGTGAAAGAACTTAACTGGCTTGTACAGAGGCCTCAACCCTATCTTACAGCTTTGGGATGCTGTGAGCCAGGCTTCATCACCCAACATCAGTAGTCGACCTCACTAATCCTCTTGTAGCTGGGAGAAAACATCCTGCAGCCAGGTTCCAAAATCTTGTGGAAAGCCTACAAAGTAGAATGGAGGAGGATGTAGCAGCATATTAATGTCTTTCCTTTTGGAATGAGGTGTTCGACAATCACATAAAAGTGTAATGTGAACATATTTATGGCCACATAGCGGAGGTAGAGAGGAGCGACTGCACTGGTTAGAGGCTGAGCTGTGGCATTTGACAGCTCTCAAGTTTAAATAAGTGTCGCTGTGCAGGTTGGATGCTGACAGTGTGTCTGAGTCTGTGCTCGGAGAGAGAGAGAGAGAGATTCAGCCCTATTTTAAGCCTCTGTTCCACTTATTCCACTCAGGGAGAGAGACAGAGGGGATAAGAGAGAGAGAGAGAGAGAGAGAGAGAAAGAGAGAGAGAGGTTAGAGGAGGGTGATATTCATACAGAATGAAAAATATGAGAAAGTGAGACACTGAAAGAAAAGAGGAATTAAAGAAAGAACTTAAAATGAAAGGAAAGACACAAGGAGTAGATGTTTCAACCAAGGTGAAGAAAGAGGACATTTTACCCCTCCAGCTGCTGAGCAAACGAAAACCCTCGCTATTAAATCCACTTTCTCACAGAAAAGTCTTTTCAGCAGAAAACATGAGCAACTGCGAAAAGTTAGAAGTGAATTTCTCTCTTTCTGCGGGTGAAAACGCCAAACAAACAACAAATGTGACATTGTTCCTAATACTGACAACTCACCTGTCCATCATGATTTGTCCACAGGGGGGAGATCTGTTCGATGCCATCACCTCTGCCAACAGATACACAGAGAGAGACGCCAGCGGCATGCTCTACAATCTGGCCAACGCCATCAAATACCTCCACAGCCTCAACATTGTGCACAGAGACATCAAACCAGAAAACCTGCTGGTGAGTTCACACAGAGTGGGCCTGCATGTGTCTGTATACATGGTCATATAACTTGCCGCAGTATAGCCTCTCTCTTTTCCTCCCTCCTTTCTGAATGAACAGTAAAGTAATATCACTCACTCTGGACTCTCACAGAGGAGAGAGATGACTCATCCCTGCTGCCCTCACACCTCCCGCACACTCCTTCTCCATCCTCCCTCATTTGTGCCTTCCCTTTCTCCTTCTCCCTTCTGTCTACTTGCTCATTGTCTTCTCCTGCTCTTCCCTCAACTGCTGTTCTTCATCCCCTCCTGTCACCCTTCAAAAGTAAGAAATGGTCCACTCCAAAGATAGTTGAGTGGCCTCTGTTGCCACATTCACCTCTGCTGACCTATGATATGGTCGTAGCTTTGACACATCCAGCAGGAACAGAGCAACACTTGTATTAGTATTAGTATGTTGAGTGATGTTTCTGGCCATCTGTTGAATGTAAGTCAAACATTCACTCTCTTTTAGCTCTGTTTTGGGTCTCCACCAACCCCTGGTGGAAATATCTGGCTTTTTAGCTGCTAAATGATTCACTGCCTTCTCTAGCTAGTCTCTAACTTTGTCGTTTGGTGCTTGGTTGATATCGTATTGTGGGTTTATCTGAGCTTTTTGCTGAAAACAGCACAATAAGTGTGCTGAAGTGGGGGAACAGCAGAGTTGGGGTTCTTCAACTAAGCGCTTCCTCTTTCTCATGCATGTAGTAATTTGACTGTTAATTTAAAAATATTAATTATAGCAATGTTAATGCCGTCGTTTGTTTGCAGTTATATTAGGCCTATATGGTAATACTATAATTTTTCCACCATGTGTAGGATTTAAGCATTTTCAGACTTTGGTGCCCCTAATGGCACCATCAAAAAAGACACTGCAGCAGACAGCAAAGCACACCACTAACCCCAAATCCCCCATGGATTTGACCCAGGGACACTTAGAATGAGGGGCGGGGACTACGGCAGTCATCTTCGGGATAGTTGCATTTTGCTAATCAAAAACTGAATAAATTGAAAGATGCTATAATCACATAAAAACTCATAAACACAGAAGCTTTAAATGAATTACAGACACATTGTCTCTAGGACAGTTAGAATCTAACATTTAAACCCAGCAAGATTTACAAGTACAGTTAATGCAGCTGCAGATGTTGTTATGCCTCACTGTCCAAATCATAATCATCTCATTGCATCTCATTTAAGATCCTACTTTTAACAGCATTTGTTCTATGTGCTTAGGTGTACGAGCATGCAGACGGCAGCAAAAGCCTGAAATTGGGAGACTTTGGTTTGGCAACTGTGGTGGACGGACCACTCTATACTGTCTGCGGGACCCCGACATATGTAGCACCTGAAATCATTGCAGAAACAGGGTAAGTAGAGAGTTAGTAACAGAGCTGAGGTTAAAGAGGAATAACACATAACCAATGTATGAGTCATGTCGTGATGCAGTTAGGCTGCAGGTTACAGAACAGTTTACAGTAACCTTTCTTTCTCCTTAACTTTGCCTTGAAGTCATCATATGTCTTTGTCTTTGTGCAGGTATGGCCTTAAGGTGGACATCTGGGCAGCTGGAGTCATCACCTACATCCTACTGTGTGGTTTCCCACCCTTTCGAGGGTAAGCTAACAGCAAGAGCCACCCTGCCAAGTGAAATATCTACTATCACTTTCACTGCTTTTAAAATAATTTGTAAAATAATAAGAGTTTTGTATCTGTCCCTTCGAATGTTTGGTAATAATTTGGTATTTTATTTATGTAGTTACATTCATATTGAAATGTTTTGTTTGCAGGAGTAGTGACGACCAAGAAGTGCTTTTTGATCAGATACTAATGGGACAGCTAGAATTTCCTTTACCGTACTGGGACAACGTGTCTGAGACAGCCAAGGTGAGTTTCTATATCCTTATGGACATCATTTGTTTGCGTGTGAACTGATGGAGGAAATTCACTTTATACAGAGGGAATAAAAACTCAATAATACTTGTTTGATGCTGAAGGAGCTGATTCGATCCATGCTGGAGGTGGAGGTGGATCAGAGATATACTGCCCTCCAGGTGCTGGAGCACCCTTGGGTCACTGTAAGTACAGCATTGATTGAGCTTGAGCCCTTACATCTATGAGTCACAATATTTTCCCATAAGTTCTGATTTTGTTATTCTCTCCTCCTTTCTCGATACAGGATGAGGGTCTATGTGAGAATGATCATCAGTTGTCAGTAGCAGGGAAGATTAAGAAGCACTTTAACACTAATCCGAAGGTCAACGACACAACTGCAGGAGTGTCAGTCATTTCTGTAAGTCACTACCACTAGAAACTACAGTACCCATAGACCAACTGGTTTGATGGATTGTTTAAACAGAGATCTACAGTTGTTAATTTGTTCAGCCTCCTAAGACAGATACAACTTTCTGACTGAAGTTTGTGTCTTGTTGGTATTTCTGTTTTGGAATGAACTTGTGGTTAGATTGATTGTGCTGGTTTCTCTTTGTGTTCAGCTGGATGACAGCTTTTCTATGCAGAGATCTGGGTCGTTGGATTTCTACCAGCACCCGGCCATGTACTGGATAAGGTACGGCAGGTTTCCATAGAGACACAACTGGGTAGATGGTCAAAAACCAGCAAGAAATCATAACAAACCAAAATAGAGTCTCTCAAATTGATGTATCCCCTCCTCCCTGCATGCAGCCCTGCTGACTGGCTGCTGCTGTGCTGCTTTGACAGCTTCATGTTGTCCCTGCTTTTCGGTCTTTGTGCTTGGCTTTTTGCTTCTTTCCTTTAATCCCCTGCTCGCTGTAAACACATATTTCACACAGTACTTGCATCGCTGTCGTGTGTCTTCAGCCAAAGCCTTGTCCTCTGTGTTGTGTCACTGCATATCAGTTTCTCCAGGATTTGAGTGTGTGAGTAAGGAAGTGGCAAGTTACCCCGAAAATGACCCTTAAATGTTTCTCCTAAACGTCTCTGTTGAACATGTACTGCACAACCAATTTCTTTTATGACAAAGTAAACACACTGATGTTGCTGAGGTTTTTCCCTGTGTAACAGTCACTTTTTGTTTACTTCCTTTGTGAATGCTGCCATCCACAGAAATAACCCCGTTCCCTTGCTTGTCACAGTGATTTTCAGTGATTTTTGTGATTGATGTCATGCTCTCTGTCTGGCTGCCTCCTACTAACAGGACTTGCTATTCAGCTCCCATTGCCCAACTCCTGTTATGTGATTTTGTCCACGATTGATTAATGGAGGGCCTAGAGGTTCATGGTTATAAAGGTTTCCACTGGTTGATTTTAATAATAATTGGATGCTGACAAGAGGAGGAATTAATTAACGCAACAATTTAATGTATTACTCTAGCATAAAAGATTGCATGTAAATAACTAAATGAGGCAATAAAGGTAGATTAAGTAATACTAAAATGTGTAACTCAATCATAAATGAATATAACACTGTTTGGCTCCAAGTAGAATGGGACCAGAGGCAGGAAATGAAGTGAACTGACTCTCAGTAATGTCAGATACACAGCAATATCTATGTAAAGTTTGCCAACATTAGCCATTAGAAGGTACTGGTCATACCAGACCTTTGCCACAAAAATGATGAAGAAAATGTCAAAATGAATCTGGAAACAATAGAATAATAAATGTTAATTAAAGCATAGTTTAAGAAGTGTGATGTGGAATTGATTTATTCCACACTTAGGTATTAATTGACTAATCTTGCTTTTGTTAATCCCTCTTCTGTCCAATTAAACATTCATTAATAACTTAATTTGCAAGTGCTAGACTCTCCTGGTCCTCCATACTGGACTATGTACTGTGCTACTGGATCTCAGCATCAGAGGATCTAATCATAATGTTCTCCTGTTCCTCGCTCATTCAGGCCACCCCTCTTGATAAGGAGGGGCAGATTCTCAGACGAGGACGCCACCCGGATGTGAAGCCACTGCCTTTAGAGATGATGCTGACGGTGACAACAGTAACAACATCAACAACAAAAACACTACGGGCCGAGCCTCCCCGTTGCCTCCCTGGCCTGCCCACGGCCCCTCCCTCTCTGACCCCTGACACTTGCTCTGACCCTTCCCCGAACCCCAGCCTCCCATCTGACTCTGATGACATCTCCATCAGCTCAGCCAGTATCGCCTGCTCCCCCAACTCGCCCTTCTAGAGGGGAGGAGGGGGGAGGAGGGTGAGGACGCGAGGAAGGAAAATCCTTATCCAGCTCCTCCCTTTATATGGAGGAGGAGGAAGAGGAGACATCAGCTTCCCCACAGTCTGTCATGTAAGGCTGGGGGAGAAAAGGGGGAAAACTGTGGAAGGAAAAACAAAACAAAACAAAAAAAATCAGAGAGAACTTTTAGCTTTCCTGAATTCATCTTTCCAAACCCTGAGGAGAGATCAATCAAAGGGTGGACAGAGGAAAAAGAGGGTAGAGAGGTTTGGGAGAAAGACTAAAGAGGCAACAAGAAGCAGAGATCCAGAGGAAGAGGGAAAAGGCGGAATAAGGTGGAAGACTTTTCATTTATTTATTTTTAACGTTCTCTCATCTGAGCACGTTCCAGAGCTCAAGGAGCGAGAAAGGGCAACAGTATTGTTTACCCCTCAGTGATGATCTGGGCTCAACATGGAAACTTCCTTATGGTGGAGCTGCTCTACAAGGCAATATGAGAATATGGACCAATGTTCATGTTTTATTGAACCTTATTTATTCATTCTTTATTCGCTGCATTTTTTAAATATGTATTTCCCTTTTTCATAAAGGATAACTTTTTTCTGTTGATTGACATGTTCTAAGAGCTTGGTGGAATGGAAAAGTAATGGAAAATGTGCGTAGAAGTAGAGCTCAGAAATTTTGAGGTAGGTTGCTGTAGACTTGATGAACTGTGTAGTTGTGGGAAATGAGAGCTACAGTATGTAGAGAAACGTTTTTTTCTTAGACATGTGTTGAAAAAAGTGTTAATCAAAAAAAGATAAATGACAAAGAGCACTTGTGCTATATTCTGTGCTCCACACAGTATTGGCATTGCCTTCCTGTAATGTTGGATTGCAGTATTACAGTTTACATTTTACACAGACTGCTATTAAGACAATAATGGTGCATTTGATTCCTTCTTGTAATTTTGTTGATTGCTTCATTCGTGACATCTTGATACACAAAAATTCAGCAGCATTCGGGTGCTCGTGTAGCAAATTCAACATTTGAACAATTCTTTTCTCGATGCACACATTTCCAGTCATTCTGTATTGATATCATATTATTCTTAATTATTTGTGATGCTTATGTACACATAGGAAGCCTTTTTTTAAATACATTTTTTTCCAACACAAAAGTCATATTTCATCCACATATTCCAGCAGTAAAGAAAGGAATAATTGTTGCAGGTGTACCACTTAAACATGGGTTCGGAGAAATGTTTTAGGTGGTAAATCTATAGGATTAACTTACGAGGGCTGCCTTTTTGCACAAAGTAATGCAGTCTAGGTGCAGTCACACACTTATGAGAGAAAGACAGTATGAATGCCGGAGAACCAGCAGCACTCTTGGGAAGCAGTACATTTAAAAGGGTGGAAGAGGATTTATTTCAGCTCTGTACAACCTCATTCATGGCTTCATTTATTCAGATGAAAGCATGACAGACATACAGTAGCCTATTCTTATAATAAAAAACAGTTTCGTGATGAAGTATTGTTTATATGTTATGTAAATAACATAATTTTATTTATTTTGATAGTTCACAATACAGTATATTTCTTTACTAGTAGTACGTCTATGAGAACAGTAAAAAAAAAAACAATCAGTCATACATGTGTATCAGTCAGTCAGCAAAGAAAAAATAATGTAGAGGAGATCATCAGATCGAAACAATACAAGTGAGTTGAACAAGACAATTTCGACCTGATGTTGTACCACCTGGATAAATCTACACAGACATCTTTGCTTCTTGTCAGACACTGGAAATGATGTCACTTCCTTTGCAAAAGCAACCGCTAAAGGGATTTCCAGTAACTGATGTGAGATAAAAGATAGGAGAAGCCAGAGGAGTGAGAGAAATGCAGAGTGATTTCAGTTTTTTATTTTATTTTATTTTTTACAAATGATCTCCCTGCAGTCGTCACACTTGTCTGTAACTTTCCGTATTTATTCTCGTCATCACACATAGACAGTAATGTGCCACCATATTGACCAGATCAGTATGAATTTTTTGTGCTGTCGAAATCCACACTCTCCAGCACATGGGCACATGTGGTTTACCAAAGTGCTCTCACACCTGCACCACAATATTACAATCTGTTGCAATACCTGTACCTCTGTTCAACAATGGTCTATCAATAACAATAGTAATAATTAAAATATGTTTCAAAAACAAACTGTCTGTGTCTTTTGTAGAGCTTTAATGTGATTTAATGGGTTTAGTTGTGAGATTTTAAAACTTCAGTCTGTACAGTTTACTGAGATTACTAGAGTTTTCCGCTTACAGATTTCTTTAATTCTAAATTCGTCCTATCAAATATGTGCACAGCATCCCACTAAGGTTTTTTTGTTGCTTTTGTTAACTGTTATCTGCTGGGATGGCACTTGACTAGAGGGGTACTTGATATGTTGTTATGAATCCCACAGCAGTTGTAGCCAGAGACGTGGGATCCAAAATTTCCTGTACTTGACAGTGCAGATGCTCAGTGTACAGGTGGTATGATAGAGTAGAGGATACTTGTATCCATGGAAATTAATTTTGGCTTCACTGTGGTTACATAAAAAAATAAAACTTAAATTAGATTACAGTAAGAAAAGACTTCATGAAGTTGCACGTGGCATTAAAAATAAAAAACGTGTCCTATATTTCCCTACCAGAGTAGAGTTTGCAAGTTTCACAGTTTTCTGCTTATTACAGAGCAAATGCTGGCTCTCAGACAGCTGTCTCTGTGCTTCCCCTATGATCATGCCAGCCATATTCTCAGACCATGACAGTTCATTTCTATTCTTACCTGCAGGAACACTATACCAAGTGGAGACATTGTAGGTCTGAACACTTTCTGTGACACTCTGGTAACAGTAAAGAATCTCTGCCTCCAGAAAAGCTGTCCACCTTTATAAACTTCCAGCAGTGTTGAACTTTTGTAAACGCATTCAGTCATTTTCCTGGCTGCTGGCAGAGTGATGCGTCTAAAGATCATGCTGTCCTTGTGACCACTGTCTAAATAACTCATCAGTATTGATTACTTGGGTTATAATAATCAAAACTCATCCATTTAACATGATATATTATATTACTAATTCATTAATATATAATATATGTGTGTGAGATATATATATATATATTAGAAAATGTCATTATTACTGTCAAAAATCTCTATTTCTATATTTAGCTAAGAGTTTATTGTTTACTGTTTATTATTGTACTATATGTAGCTAAGAGGTTTATTGTTTATCTTATACCTGTATTTTTTTTTATACCTCTTTTATGTTTCGGTATACAAGGGTGTTTTTTTTTGTAGCCTGCTGAACAATCCAGGATTTCCTTGCGGGAGTCATCCCAAAGGGGATCAATAAAGAGAAGTCTAACTCTAAAAGAAGAGCACAAGTGAACAGGAGCATGCATTTGGCTTATTGGCGTGGCCACTGGGGGTCGCTGTAACACGATGGAACCAATGCAAGCGAAGAAAGAAATTGCTTGTGTACTCGAATTGCAGGCTAAAACCCAAAGAAGAGTCTCCCCAGTAGCTGGATAAAACCACTAGAGTTTGATTTGCCAATCATGGTACACGATGGACACACTGCCTTAATAAAGCAGTTGAACGCACATGGGAATACAGGAAATGTGGCTGGGCAAAATGGTCAAACTAATAGCAGATTAGCCTAAGTAGAGCACGCTAACGTTAGCGGAGCTCGCTGTCGCATACTGTATCCGTTCACCGCAATCATGAGCGAAGGATGACAACTCAGCATCAGCAAAGCAAAGACAAAGACTCGACTCTCCTGGCTCACCAAAGACGGACAAAAGGTACTACGTGGGAGTAAAAGCGGAAGTAGTCGACAGCAGAAATGTGACAACGCCGCAACGGAACCGGACAACAAGCGTCTCCTCCTATGACACATGCGACGACCCGGACGAGGAGAGCGAACGGTCGCTGGCAACTTCGGTCCAGGGACAGCGCCGCCAGCCCGGAGGAGCTCAACGACGGAGGAGATCCTCGCGAGGGCGACAAACGCACCAAGCAGTGCACTATGAGGGTGCACGGAGACCACAACGGCAGGTGGCCAAGCAGAGGAAACCGTGGAGTGTGCAAAAAAAACACCGCCAATAAGATGGTGACAAAGACGAGAGTATATAGAAAAAGAAGACGACCAGGCCATGTCCAGGTGGGAAACTTTGATGTAAGTTATACTTTATAACCTAGAGCATCCTTTCCGTACAGCCTCGTGTTTTTAAAGTCCATGTAGATGAGCTTGGAAACATTGATGAATTAGTTACAGTGGCAGTGATTACATTTCCAGGGCTGAGTCTTTTATGGCACATTGTGGGGTCCCTGGCTCCAGACTTCACTGAACCACAACACAAACTAAACTCATTTCATTGCTTGTTTGTCTCGCTTTTTTTTTGGTGCTAATCAGGGAGAACTCAGAGGAGCGACCTGTGTCTGTGAACAAACAGCGCATGGGAGCCATGGGGGACCGGCCAGCCAGACCCTCCCTGATAGAGCAGGTCCTGAACCAGAAAAGACTGGTAAGTTATAGCTGATCAGATGCAGCTACAGTATATGATTGTTCTTATTCTCACTCTCCTATCTCTCCTTTTTCTTGTTGTATGGGGACTTTCATTTTGCCTATGTTGTAGAGCAACTATTTGCAGTAGGTACTATATGGTAAAAACATATTGTTACATTATATGTTACATATTATTTTGACAGAACTTGCAATTTAATTCACGGTTAGTGTGGGAATAGTTATTTTTGCATCACAAATTCAATTTTGACTGATAAAAACACTACTAAAATTATGATTATGTGAGTTTGTGGGCTGTCTCTAACAAACAGACAGATTTCTTACATCTGGAGAACAAGATTTGTAGGCCAGGGCATCTCTGTAGCACTACAATAGGTCATTATAATGCTGTTTGTCTTCTGCGATTTGGATACTGTAATTTAGATCATGTTTTGATTAATTGTGCAGCACCACTCCTAAGTATGTAAGTAACAGGTTTCACAGCCATTGTGTTTCTTGTGTCCTTCCACCCCGACTGGGAGGCATCAGTTTTTAATGTCTAGAGAAATGTTTGCACAAGCCGTTCTCTTCCATACAAAGGCAGAAAAAGACAAGTAGGCATTAAATATTTGTTGTTGTATTGTGCTCTGAAATTCAAATGTGTGTGTGTGTGTCCTTCAGTCGCTGCTCAGGAGTCCAGAGGTGATCAGCTTCCTACAGCAGCAGCAGCAGCTCCTGGCCACACAGGGACGCAGCCAGGCACAGCAGCAGTTCCAGGGCTGCTGACGTCGGCTGGTCGATGTGTTTGTGATAAATAAGAGAACACTGAAGAAACACCGGCACACTAAATGGATAGTAACCGTACACTGTAAACATGAATTTCCCCAGCCAGACAGCCATCCTGAGAAAGAATAACATCACAATCGAGGGATGTTTTAATGAGACTGGTGGACTGAACTAAGTTGAACTCATCTAAATCCCTCAAACGGTGTGAATTTCTTAAGTAGCAGACTGATCATGTAGTCAAACAATGTCCGGTGCTGATTAGGAATTACAATTTCATGAATACAAACCTACATGTATTTTAATGTATTTAAGTCTACTTATTGTGAATTTACTTTGTAGTTACTCTGTCAAATCCCATTCTCTCTGTGTCGTCTTCCTTCATGTGGCAATATTAATGAAGGTACTGGATTATGATTGACATTAAAGTCATTACAGTTGTGTGTCTGAGTATCGCTTATGTGATACTTTTTAGGCTCTTTTCTCTCTAATGGATTATTGATCTTCCTTGTGTTTGTAACGTTTTCTCTTGTCCATACGACAATCATGTGTGTGATGCATGTCTGTAACCACTTTTCAGTCAAGTGGGGCCTTCAGGACTTGTTTTTAAACACATTTTATATCCCTGTTCATTCACCTGTTGTGAATCTGTTGCACAAAAAGGAACACAACTGGTGCGATAAATATTGGTCATGCTAGTTCTGTTGGCTTTGTGCTGAAAAGTGGCACAGAGAAGTCATGTACTGTGTGTTTAAGTGGAAGTGTATATCTCCTACTGTGATTGTGAGAGTAAAATATTATGCTAACATTGAAAAATTGAAAACTTAATTATATCGCAATGTGATGCTTTTTTCTTCAATGCAAGAAACACATTTTGATACTTAAAGAAAAAACGACTTTAATGGAACAAGTAAAGAGCAACCAGTACACACAGTCAAACATCAATCAACACATGGAAATACAGTACATACTACAATAATAACATTTAACATAACACAAGTCTTTGAGTACCTATAAATAGATCCCATTTTGTCTTGGAGTGCAGTTAATGTCCCATTGAAGACAGAGAGGATAAATGCTTTATCGTAGTCTTACTGAAATAAGGAACACTTGATAATTTAACTGCATGAGCAGTGAATGAACTTTTATATATCCACATGAGAATTCGAACTGTTCATGGTGTTTCAGTTATTGCAGCAGTAATGTGACAAAGCTCTGGGTAACATATTTTTGTAATTTGAATTGTGCAACAGAGCGACCATAAGACAGAAAACCTGTACATTGCAGAACATACAGAATCTACGGACTACCTGTGTGGGGGACCACGAGCACACGCCAAACTGTGCGTCCGCTCGTGTTATGACACAGAAGAGATAGGGTTGTGCGGGGAGCCCATCTGTGTGAGGACCTTGTCCAGCCACTGCAGGGGCCCGTGCAGATGTACCTCAATCCAGCAGGGGGTGCTGGTCACGTCTTGACGGTGGTATTCAGCACCCCAGCCCTGAGGAGAGGACACAAACATAGATATCAGATGCACATTTTGGCAGTTTAGTTAACTATTAAAACAAGTGGGTGCTTATTAAGCCATAAATAGATAGCAGGCAGACATGTGTCACATGTCACGTATCTCTGAATGTTTTAATTGTAGAAGAAAACTCAGTACCTTAACAAAGCTCATGCGGATGGTACACATCTTAGTTAGCTCGTAGACGACCTCAAAGCCGTGGTTTACAGACTGGGCGAGGAGCTGGGCAAACAGCTGGTTGTTAAATATCTTGAGGCTGCAGCCGCTGGGGATCTTACACACGGTGGTGGCGTGGAAGCCGTGCTGGAAGTTACAGTTACGGCTCTGGACGAAGATGCTGCTGTCACTGAGACACTCTGCGTACACCTCGCCGCCTACATAGTACAGGTGTAAACCTGAGAATCATGGAGGAGAAAAACCAAAACAGTCTTAAATGATAAAGTCAAGAAGACCAAGGGAACTTGAATGTTGCAGGAAAAAAACTAAAACAAATCATCCCTTGTTTTATTATGGTGCAAGTGTAAAACTTTAAATGTCACAGCTTGTCAAAAGAGCACAAAACAGCTCTGTTATCCAAGAAGACATAACTAATATGTAATAAAAGATATACATATTCAATCACTTCATTGTATGTGAACTAATAATAGCATATAGAGAGAGTTTTTTCTCATTTTCTGCAAAAGAAGAACCACAGGGGCATTTATGCTTGTAAATGCCTGAGTAGTGTCAGTTGTGTCTGTGAATTGGGGACCGACTACCCTCAACCCCTTTGTGTCATCCCTATCATTCAAAACCACACACATCCATCAACTGTAACCCAGAGGCCTTTGATGTCTGTCCAACAAAGGCAGGCTTTCTAAACTCTTGTACCATTAGAAAAAAGCAATATTTGGCCTGAAGGATTCAGCATGAGGAGACAAGATTAGTGTGAAGCCTGTAGTGAAGTGATTGCTTAAAAAACACACTGGGCATTTATATATATATATATATATAAAAGGTGTGTAGATACATTTTTGCAAGCAAACTGTCCCTCAGTTCTTGCTTTCATTATATTTTGGATACAGCCCATGGATAAAATCCATTAAGAGATGATATAATATGAGTGTGCTCTGATATGAATTACTTGAATGAACCATCCAGCCTACCTTTGCCAATGTGCCTGCGTGTGTGTTCGATGGTGGAGTTGCGGTTGACGTTGGATAGCAGCCCGAGGCAGAAGCGGTTCTTGTTGTTAGATGGGTCTGTGAAGCCGTCCACCAATACGCTGCGGGACGATGCGTGGAAAGTCTCCCCCACCCGGTTGTTGAGCTCATAGTAAGCTACTGAACACCAGTACTCGGGTTCCTCGTAACATACAGGCCGTAAATCTAAACAGGTTGGCATCACGGATAAAGTATTCTGTGTTATTGTATAACTTGGATACAACCAAATAAAGGAATAAATGCCATAGTATAAACTGTTTAACAACATTTCTATCATCTCATGGTATATAGTACTTGTTACTTAATATGCATAAATACCCCTTATATTGTGCACATTCTGTATGTCTCTGGTTGTGTGAACTTACCTCTGTGCGGAGCGGAAAATGTGAGTTTGATGGTTTCTGTGGAGTTGCTGGGCTTCACATCCTCTGGAGGGCTGCTCTCCATCATGCTGTACGGAGGTGGGGGAGTCTCTGCTGGAAAAGCACGACACATATGACAGGAAGAGGATAAACAGGGACAAGTAACTGATGTACACTTATCAGAGACTTGGGTTTGAGACTTTAAGGCCATGCATCAAGTCATGGTAAAACTACATCCTGCTCCTGTGACAGGTGTTTGAACATTTCAAATAACAATTAAAGTATCAGCCTGCTTTTGTTTTGATCCCTACCTGTGATGTGATACGGACTGCCGGGCTCTGTCGAGCTGTTGGGGGAGTTGGGGTAACTCTGTGAGGTGGGAGACTGGGCGAGGGAGGAGGAAGGGGAGGAGGAGAAGGAAGAGCAGGGCAGCGGGGGGAAGGAGTCTGGGTAGGTGGCATTTTGGGGCATCAGAGGCTCGTTGTGCAGGGAGGCGTTCCTGAACTTCGCCAGCAAGCTGTGCTGAGGGTTGAACTCGCTGTGGCGTGGGACCAGAACTGGTGGCAGCACTGAGACGAGAGGAAGGAAAGAAAAAGGTGGGGGAGAGAGGGCAAACAGAGACAAAGAGCCAGATGCTGTAATAAAAGATCATATTACTGCAAATCCCTTTGCCTTGGGAACACTGTATTAGATCACTGTCATAGAACCCACAAAAGCTTCAATGTTATGAAATTAAAAATCAACAATGAGCCAATTTTATTTTTTTTATTACAGCAAATTTACAAGATGTTCTCTGATAATGCGTGTACCTGGAGTCTCCACGCGCCTGTAGTGGTAAGGGTTAACACAGATGTCCTTCTGCTTGGAGCCGAAGGGGAACTCGCAGCACTCCAGGGCTTTCAGCTCATGGTGGGACTGCAGGTCGGGCCAGCGCCACACCCTGCAGTAGATGACGTGGGGCAGACCCTTTCTGTGGGACACCTGCAACCTGCCATCCAGCGACCGAGGGATCGTCACACACTTGCCTGAAAGATTCAAATTAAACAGTGAGGACTTCAATACAGCTTCACCAAACGGACAAATACAATTACTACCTCTTGTACACTTTTAAAATAAGAGTTTAAAAAAAAATGCTGTACTTGTGTATTTTCTATGTGTTAGATATAGATAGAAACAATAAATACTGAGAAGCAATGTAGTTCACTCTAGATAAGATTGTTTTTATTGTGATTTAAACATAAATGATAATCAGACTAGTATAATTACTCATTGATTACATTTCATGCTTTTAGTTTTCCAGAGCAGCTTAAAACAGTGGCAGTGCAGGTTTCTGGGTCTTGTGCTAGGACACATTGACAAATGGCATCTGATGCAATCAAACATCCTGTTTACTAACCTAACCAGTGGTTCCCAACCTTTCTACCTTACGACCCCTAGAATAAAGCAAATGTTGCATTATTTTTCAGTTAGAGTGATTTTTCCTATCAAAATGGTTAATTTGAATAATTTTAAGACATTCTGTGAAGTAAATCTATCACGTATTTCACAAGAAACAAGCAACAACAAGACATTAAAATCAGAAAAATTACATTATTATTAGCAGAACCATGTTTTGTCTTCCTTCCTATTTTGTGAATCATCTCAAGGCCCCCGAGGTTTATCTTGTGACCCCGTGAGTGGGTTCCGACCTCCAGATTGGGAACCACCGGTCTAGACTACCACTGAATGTTTGACACTGTGTGTTACTCACTGGGCTGCCCCGGGCAGCTGAGGGCTCTCTCCAGCTCCTCCATTGCCCCTTTCTTCTTCTTTAGTTTCTTCACTAGAGAGTCCACAGCCTTTTCCGCCCACTTCTCCTCCTCATCCCCTTGTTTCCAGCCAAGCAGGCGCTTCACCGCCGGGCTGGTGAAGGAGAATAGGGATGTAATGGAGGCAGAGGAGTTCATTATGAGATGGGTAAATGGGTGGCGAGATCAGCTGATGGGTGCTGTAAAAGAGATTTAAAGGTCCCTTGAGGAAGGGAGTGAGGAGGCAAATAATGAGAAGCCAGGACAGAGGTAAGATAAAAGAGGTAGCACGATGAGTCTGTGTAAACAGAGGCTGTGCTTTTTGTATTCCACTGTTGCTTCCGAGCAGAGCTGGCGGAGGAGTTGAACTCTTGCCAGTGCAGCGCAAACACCTAAATCCCCTCTCTGTGTTGGCACAGAACGGATCTGCCGGCTCAGGTTATTCCTCACTCAGTCAGAAATCCAGGTTGAGTTTCAATCATCTGGCAAGAGAAGTGAGAGATAGTATGAACTGCTAATTTAGCTGAAACAGATGCATGGTTGGAGGAAAAGTTCAGAGGTTAGGTAAAAAATAAAAAAAGACTCCAGGATTTAATTATAAGGGAGAATTTAGCTACAGTCACTTAGGTGATAAGCCGGTTTGGAGTGAAATCAAAGACCACCACATAACCGAAATCTACTCATATTTAACAATCTGGGCATTAGTGGTGGATTTCCATAACAATGAGGCTGTATCAGCAGGACACTGATACAGAGACCATGCCTGCATCAAACTGATCTCTCCACATGCTGAACAACAAGGTTATTATTCTCTTGGAGAAAATGAAACACTACAAAACTGTTTTTTTTTTTCAGAAAAAGCAGGGGCAAGATGGCCAAGCTCATTTCTAGATTCACCAACAATGAAGAATGTCCTTTCTGGCCTCTGTTTCTATGATCATGCCACTGACGCCCAGGAGCCATACTGTCTGGCCAGAACACATCACAGGACAGGAGGGGGAGAGGGAGAGAGGGAGGGAGGCAGACAGAGAGAGGGAGAGAGGGAGAGAGAGAAAGAGAGAAAGCTCTGTTTTTGTGTTTGTCTCTTTCTGTCCATCTAAAAACTAGGTGGTATAGAAGAAATAAACTATAGAAGTATTCAGTCTGTTCCACTACTGTATAGTTAAGATAGCCCACTTAAGTTACAGTCATAATCATGGAATCCTTTAGCGTGCATCACTCCAGCAGCATCTTACTCATAAATGACTCAAACTTTTTCTCAAGTATTCATACAGTTAAAGTATGTCTGAGACTCAATGCTAAGTTAATTATGGTGATATACTTGTTTTATCTCCTGCAGCAGAACGTCCTGAACCATGTGGTAGACAAGATATGTCCAAGCTTTAGGTTTAATCCTATACATCCCTCTAAATCTCACAAGCAACACAACCACATTCTTAAATCTGGGACTTTGTAGGTTTTTAAGATGGATCTCAAAATGACACACAGGTAATAAGTAGTAGTGGGAATCAGCATACCCATATTATGTCCCATGCCGACACTGGTTTACCGCAGACAAACAGACAGCTGGGGGTTTACAATGACAGCAAAAGCGCACAAGCTCAATGCGGCATCAGTCTGCCGCTGCTGGCTTTATGGAGCCTGGCGTCACCCAGTCTGCAGGCTCAGATAGGCTAATTACCTAATGCTTTATCACCAGGACACCCCTTCCCAAAAAAGTAAACACGCCAGCTTCCTTTTACTACTACTACAGCGAGTCGTGTTGCCGTTACACAATCCAGGATCTGCCCTAACATCCAAACGCACACCTTGATGGTACAATATGTGATCCGAAGCCGGGCATCAATAAAATCATTATTGTCATAGTCTGATAACATGTCAGAATAAAAGTTAGACCAGTCAGTCATGAGCATGCGTCAAAGAGACAGGGAGCACATTTGTTGAATATTCTTAAATCTGCGCTTAAAAATGTCTATCGATCTATTGATTACTGATCTATAACATTCAGCTCTTATATATAAAGACAAGTCATGCCAATGTATGATGAGAGACTATTTCATCCACCAAAAGTTGCCAGACAGCGCCAATGAGAAAATTAGTATTTAGCAACAACTATCTTAAATATTTAATTGGGCGACAACTCCACAACAACAAAGGACATAGCCTAAAAAAAACAAATCACAATTTCTGAAAAATAGACAATATTTGTTTACTTTCTCACCTCTGTTGTGATAACAAGTGCACCGCAGACAGCCTTGTGCGTGCGGAGGCTTCTCTGTCTGTAGAAGTTCAGGCCAGCACACTTGGGCAGCGAAGGTGTGTGTCTGTTTGTGTGTGTGGGTGTGTGTGTGTGTGTGTGCGCGTATGTGTGTGGATTGTGTCTGTGAGCGTGTGTTGACATTAAAGTGTCAAGTGAGCCTCAATACAAACAAAAGCATCCTGCTGCACCTTTCAAAATAAAAGCGTTGTTGAGCAAACGTAGTCTGTAAGCTGCAAGGTGGCAGTGCAAAAGAAAACAAGTAGCCTACTGAAGTTTAGATGCTTATGTTATTACCTGAGCCTCGCAGTCTGTCTCTAACTAACGGGGGAAAGAAAATAAGAGAGGGCGAGGGCTACAAATACCATGTTATACTGGCTTTTGAGTCTACATTTAATGTTTGTACACCCCATTTGGAAGTGCAACATATTTTATACCCCAAATTCCAAGTTTTGTGAAACTCTGCAGTAAATAAGGTGTCTAGAGCATAATTTACAACCCTTAACAGTTACAAATATAATTTATTTTCCAGTACTAAACAGTATTAATAACTTAATATGGAATTGCAATGTTACTTTATATAAGTTTTTAAATGCCCTTTTCTTCTGTTCTAAAGCAACAGACACACAATGGAGTCTATATTAGTGTGAAAATAAATAAATAAATGAATAAATAGATGTTATATAGAAATCAATGAGTATGGATTACGCTATCTATTATGTGAATATAACCAGCAAATTACACATTTAAGAATCTTTTATTAAGTAAATATATAGAGCACCATTCAGGTCTACATGCAAAAATTACGCAATCAATACATTTCTATGTTTTTATTTACCAATTAACTAATGTATAATAAATAATCACAGCATTTTTTTCCGGTGGCAGGCAATAAATATTGGCAAATTCCAGTAATTTCCGCTTTTATTGTCGAGGTACAGCCCACTACGTTCCGGTGCTGTCCCGGCAGTGTGCGGTGCATTGACGCAGGTTTGCAGAGCCCGGAGCCTCCGCTCCTCCAGCAGCCCCAGCCGAGCGCCACACAGCCTCGACGGCGTCAGCCTGGCTGGAACCGCAGCGCTTGCATGGAAGATCCCTCCGCCTTCCCCCTCCTGGAACTTTCCCAGGATTTCAGGGATTTCACATTCAGGCCCCGGCTGCAGCGGCGTGCGTGTACGCGTGTGCGCGCGTCCCACCTGAGCCGTGACCGCTCTCCCAGAGTGGCTCTAACTAACGGAGGGCAGGGAGAAAAACAGATCACACCTGTTCACCTTTTCCACAATATTCCAATGATTGGATTGAACATTGCTGATAGACGCATGCTGCAGTGGCTTTGTAATGTGTGCTAGACATTAACATCCATAAAGTGTGCGGCAGGTCGAATGTTTGGTTATTTGTTTAATCATATTATTGGCGGGTAAAATGAGTTATCTTTAGCCATCTGTTTGCCACTGGTGCGTGGTGAGCGTATGTTTAAAATAAGTTTAGAATATTTATTTATATAAATAAAACTATATTTATTATAAGTTTATATATATTTATAATATTTTGTATTAGCGTATGAGATGTGGTAAAAATCTGCCACTAAACAACTATTTACTATAGCTATTATTACGTCCGTGTGCACGCGCGCAGGTGCACGCACGCCGCACCTGTAAGCCTAACCAAAAAAAAAGTAAGCCGTATCAATCCACCTGAGGGAGGGACTATCTGCCGTCTGTCACCACGAAGTCAGCCGTGTAGTGGAGTCGAGCTTCGTGGTTTCTTTTTTCTTTCCCTCCTCTTAACATCCAACATGTTTCATTATCTATTGTTGGGAGCCACGCCGAGGTCTTTTCTCTTTGCGGATGGACACGATCCTTCATTGGGAGTGCCTTGACTGGTCCAGTTAATGACGCAAGCCCGGCTGGCGACAGTGAGTCTACAAGTTTGACATTTTCGGTTTACAGCAACTGCTGCGGAACGTAACAATACTCCAACACCAAGAGACAGCACTCTGGGGATTCCTGTCACAAACATCAGGGTTTTTCATTTTCTTTTCTTTTCTTAAACCCACCAGGTGGCTCATCATAATGCACCACCGGGATAAACTGCCGGTGTGCCGCAAATAGGTGGTGGTCTATCAAAGCCAGTCATTTCCAAAAGTCTGGTACAGAGACCCCCCCTAAGGAAGCCGGTGAGGAGCCACCAGGGTAAAATGCATTAGTGTCTTTTCAAGCTTTATAAATGAGCACAACAACAACAAAATAAGAGTTCTTCATGCCATCACTCCACCTGTAGAAAGCCAGCAGTCGTATCTAGCAATAAATGAAATACCTTCCTGTGTAAATCTATTTACTCATCACCTTTTCACTGAAGAGCTGACTCCTGAGGCAGGAAACTAGAAGGAAAAAAAAAAAAGAGCCACATTTGCTCTGAGCGTCTCTGGTTGCAGAGGGCAGACAGACAGGCAGGACACAAACAGGATGCGCTCCCCGGGGGCTCCGAGAGGCCCCCAGAGACATCCGCATCAGACCTCAGGCTTGCATAAGAAAAACAGCACTATGAAGAACTTCATTTACCCAGACCGCAAAAACGCTTGCTGGACTCTTTCCAAGAGGATGTCCACATGAGGACGCAAAGGGATGACTGTGGCGATAAATAACGTAACGCAGGGTTCCCCGCTCCTTCTTTCATGTCAAGAAAAGACCAGACTCATGATAATGCGGGCCCCTATGCCCCCGTGAAATGTTATATAGCTGACCCCAGTTAACTTCACGAGGGTTTTAGCTGTTAAATCTGATTTTATAGCAAATTAAATAAAATGTAAGTGGAGTCAGATCCTGCAGATTTCTAGTGATAACATTTGATAGATAGTTCGCTCTGAAGGGTGCCTGACAGAGACACTACTCAGTGACACTGTGCACCCTGTGTGTTAAGATACTGCAAAATTTAAACAGATGCATTAAGATGACATTGAGGGTGAAGCTTTGTGCGTGAAGAGACAGGATGCTGACTGAAAGAAGAGCAGAATACAACCCAACACGCTTTTAAATGCTATTAAAATGTTAAACACAGTGTAAAAACTCTGGGGATTATGCTTGATCCTAATGCAAATTCCTTGAGCTTCATGAGCAATCATCCTGCTTTTTTTTTAAATACTTATAAGTAACTCCTGTAGATTAAAGACGTGACATCTTTCCAGCAGACTGGTCTCTGAACTCTGCAGCAAATACAAAATATTGATTTCACAGTACTGGTTTAAGCTCGTCTCTAATGGTCTCCTGTCACTTTATTATTGATTTCAAAATGAACATACAAGGCACTACATGGTCATAGTCTGTGCTCTTGAGATGCTGCGCCCTCTGACCCTAGGTGGTAAAGCTGTGGTTGCTCCTCGACTCCCACAAAGTCAAGAGATGTCAAATTAGTGCACTTTAAAAAACAAAACATTTGTTTTCTTTGGCTTATTCTCGATTTTAATATTTTATATTTTGTGGTTGGTGTAGATCTTTATTAATAATCTCCCTCTCCTTCCTCCTGGTTAGCACTTTGTAACTTCTATTTTTAAAAGTGCTAATGTAAAGTTTGCTGTCTTTATACTTTTAGTAGTGGGGCTTTAATTATAGACTAATCTGAAAATATTTTTCTTGATTAACTGATTAAATGTCTACAAAAGATAAGAACATAGCCTAGAGCTCAAAGTGACAACATCAAGTGTCACCCAAAATATTCATTTTACAGCAATGCCAGACCAAAAAAGGCAATAAATTCTAACATTCGAGAACCTGGAATAATCAAATGTGTCGCCATTTTTGCTTGAAAAATGTTGATTAATTAATTATCAAAACAGTTCCTGATTGATAAATTCACTAATTGTTGCAGCTGTATGGTAATGATTATCAAATCATAATTCTTTGACATTTTTTTTAATGTTGGTTCAAGTCACCCCACCCATCAACCCACGTCCCTGTTTCCTTACAAATACAGTCAATCCCTCCCTTTTGAAATCTCATATATTAACATTCATTCTATTCGTCAGAATCACGACACACAGATTCTCAGATCCTTCACATTTCATTACAGTCTTTCTCACTTACAACCGATTGGCCACAAAATAAACAATAAGTAACTTAGTACACGGATC